TATTTGCCTTTGTCGAATTTTAATTAATCTATTTGTCATGTTACAAGGACTTCCAACACCATACATCATATTCTAAAGTCTGTCATATGTAATCGTATACTTAATTGGAATTTCTTTTTCGAAATTATGAAAATTCACTTTAGTTATAATGTGATAAAGCACGACTAAATGGACTATATTAATTTGATTTTAATATTTCCTTATTTTCAATATTTTTACAGAACTACGTCCACGCGTTCGAGATCTCTCGGTATTTGGTGCAAGAGGCTGACTACATTCCATGGGCGTCCGCTAACAGCGCGCTGAACTATTTAGACATTGTCCTTAGTGGCTCCGATGTTTACGATCTGTTTAAGGTTAACTAATAAACTGTTAAAATAATAACTAACCAAGACCTCAAAGTATGCTTCAATTCTAACATAATTGTCATCCATAATTTTCTTTCGAATGTTTTGTCCAAATGGCTGTCTAAAAATGTTTTGGGTTAACATCATAAAGTATTGAAACTTGTTATTATTATTTCTGTTAATTATGATACTAACCGTGGGTTTCTGACTTCAAAATCTCTGAATAAGATATATCGCATAGCTTTGACAACACAGAATATGTATTAAACGGAGACTTTGGACTCGGAAACCCACGGTAACACACATATCAATGATGTTACAAAGAAGTATATTATTTTAGCTAACAAACCTATATTCTATTTTATGAATCAATGTACGAAACCAAAAATCTTCAAAATTAAGTTATTTTTCTATCAACAGACTTACATGCTGGAACTATCAACTCCACTGTACGAACGTTTGGGTTTCTCTTCTCAATTACCAGAAGAGCACGTGACCGCTTACCACAGGAACATCGTACTTGACATCCACTGCAGACTCGGCAACCAACACTGTGTGAACCGCTCCCAAGAACTTCTGGAGCAGTTCAGAAATAACCCAAGTATGTAACCTAAGAGTATTGTCGATGCGACGGTCGAAATCAATATTCCGTCTTAGATATCTATTATACTATGGCATTCGCATCTCAATAGATCATGTTTATCGACTATTGCGATCTTTAAATCAAGGTCCTAAGATGAATAAACATCGCCGATGAGAAAGCTTGGTGCGAGGTCCAATATTAATTTCGGCAGTGAGTATTGAAGAATGCAACTAAAAGAAAATCTTAAAATCTTGAACACATACAAATAATATGTAGGTTATTGAACAAATTACAAATCCAATATCCGTTATATTTTTGATATATTGTCAGTAACAAAGATTTGAATGTAAAAGACGATTGAATTTCAGGTCAGCGTTTGAACCCTGACGTTCAGACAACAGTATTCTGCTCCGGTCTTCGCGGAGGTGACGTTAACAACTTCAACTTCCTTTGGAATCAATATCTCGCCAGTACTGATTCCAGCGAACAATCCATTCTACTCAACGCTCTGGGCTGCACTTCGAATGCGGAACGACGCGACTTGTGAGTTATTGGCCCGATATAAATTCTATGCAGGTTTGACTATCGCATAATGGTTTATATTGAATAGCTGAGGTTCCACATAAAGTGCTTGGAGCAAACTATAAAATGGATAGTTAATGCAATTTATATCTTGTATTACAAGCGAACTTTTATTATTTAACTCATAGCATTGTCCGTTTTTGTTTTAAATATAAACTTGTATGGACTCGCTTATAGCATTCATCTGTTACAAATTTAATATCATTAAATAAGTAAAAAAAAAACAAATTTAGAATTTCATTGCATTGCCGCGTTGTGGAACGGTCTGTCCTCAGCGGTTTTTCCAAACCAATACGACTTAGGGACCTTCAAGCAGCGAGCATATTATTTCCTTAAAGGCCGGCAACGCATCTGCAGTTCCTTTGGTGTTGCAGATGTCCATGGGTGTCGTTGATCACCTCGGTATTCCCGCCGCTCGTTTGCCTCCTTCTCTTATAAAAAAAATTGCATAAAGTTAAATTAACTTCCTCCTTTTCAAATCGGTTAAAAGTAACTGTTCTTAGCATTCTAACCGCAAGTTTAAAATATTAATTAACTTTTACAAATTGCAGCTACCTCAACCAAGTGATTAGTGCAACGTCAGCAGTGCGCGACCAGGATCGTCACTCCGTCATCGTCTCCGTCATTAACTCCAGCCCCGAGAATATGGAAGTGGCTCTAGACTTCGTTATTGAACATTTTGCTGCTATCCAACCAAGGTGAATATTAACACTTACAAAATAATTAAAAACAAATGACAATCAAGTCGGCGCGATGTTGTGTTCATTTCTAAGTCTATCTCCTCGGTGAAAAATCAATTTGAATCTAACATTTTTGACTTTGTTAGATTAATTTAAAACCAAACTGTAATAGTACAATTTATTCTTTTCTTATAAGACCAAACTCAAGGTATTATTCTGTGATTTATATTCATGATGAAGCAAACATAATATTTCTATGTACATTCAAATTTACAACGTGTTTCATTTCCTTTCCTTTATGGATAATAGCATGAAAATTTCCACCCATACAATACCCACGAGGCATTGGAAACGCGATATAATTTTCATACGAATGCGTCCCGCGCTGAATAAGATGCTTTCAAGCATGTGATTGTCCCAAATCTTATGTATTATTAATATTTCAAAACATACTTTATTCCTATCTTGTGCTTTCGAACGACTCAGTAACCTGTACATAACACTATCAACACCTCCATGTCCTTGTCACATTCTCGTAGGGTCTGCGTCCCAGGTTTCCGTCCATCATATCAAGTTATCTTCCGTCATCTTAGTTGTCGTTCCCTTCTTGATCATGTCACCTTTCACGTAATCCATCCGTCTCTTCCCAGGCCTACGACTACTGATGTACCCTTCCACATTCTTTAGTTCTCCCTGTCACATGCGGTTCTTCCCTCCTCATTCAATCACCACGCTAAACTTTTACTTCTTAATTTCCTATGTGCAAAACAACAACATAAAAACCAATTAAGCCATTACTTCTTACTTATATTATAAATGCGAATGTTGAGATGGACGGATGTTTGTTTGAGTGTACCTCCAGAACGGCCGAACGATTCTCGGTGGGTTCTCGGTGAAATTTGGCATGCGTATAGAACATATTCTGGAAGAACATATAGGGTACCAAATACGTTTTTTTTATTTGAGTCGCGGCCGACAGCTAGTAAGGAATAAATATTGAACATTTCTATTATATTTTCCAGAGTACAAGGTCTGACTGGAACAACTAATATCCTCAACGCCTTCGCTAGAAGATTGACAACTCGTCAACACGCGACAAAGGTAAAGTCAACATTGCAATAAAAGTTTCACGACCATAATAACATAAAATAACCATTTCACTCTTTTCCTTAACAGCCCAATGTCTTTAATATACGAAATATCATTTCTTTATGACACATAACTTGCAAAATTGTTAGTTTTATAAACGAAAAATTGATAATTTACAACTAAAAAAGCTAAAAAAAAATAACTAATATAATTTAGGAAATTAAGACTGAATTTTTATTGTTTTCCAATACTTTTTTAAATACAAAGAAAATATAAAATAAACAATAAAAGTTAATTAAAAATATTCATAATAGACTAATTAAATTAATTTAATTTCAGATCGAAACATTCATCAGTCGTCACCAATCTATCTTTACGGCTGGTGAGTTGGCAGCCATAGGAGCCATCCAGGAGAACATCGCAGCTTCAATTGCTTGGAGCGAACAGAACTACGCTACAGTCAGTTCCTGGTTGAATGACAACTTTAGAAGCAGCGCTAATATTGTCACTTCCAGCTTGCTTATTCTTATTTCTATATTTATCGCCGTTTACAATATTTAAGAATATATAACTGTATAGTTGAAATAAGAATCAATTTAAAGCAATTTGTTATGAAAATTGACGTATATTTGTCCGGTGGCGGCACCGACTAGTTTCCGAGTAGTTTGAAAGTTTGAATAATTTGTTATAAATTTTCTATTAACGAAGACTGATGAATTGAGATTGTAATTTAAATATTGAATTTGATAAAGTACTTAAAATATATTAAATCATACCGAACAAAAAAAAAGCAAAAGAAATCATATAATATTATATTATTAAGCGTAAAATATCTGCGAAAAATATCTTTATTACCGACGTTTATATGTTAAGTCTATTTGCAAATGTTTATTAGTAATAAAGCTCTAGCATAGTATTTATTTTTATATGTTTTTTTTTAAATAGGGAATAAAATCATTTTGTTACATAAATAATTAATTTTTTTATTTATATTCCTCCTTTTTTAACGCTATATAAAAACCAAACCTATTTACTAGCTTAATTAAATACATACTTGTAAATGCATATAAATATTAATTTAATTTTCACATTTAACTTAAAGTATTTCTTTTTTTTTAATATCATGTAAGTACCGAGCACCTATAATCGTGTTTCAGACAAAATACCACAGTCCACTAATCTAGCACAAGCCTGTCGCTGACCGATTTGATAAGCAATAATCCCATATCTCGTGCTGTCACGCTGAGATGACTCCCACAAGCATTGAGACGCGTAATTGTACACTCAGTTCCACAAAAAGTGGGTTCTAAAATTATATTTTTTATATTGATGGCCAATATGTTTAAGAATAAAATATGAATCATTATATTAATTTAATATTAATTTGAATAATAATTTGTTCAATGAAACAAAAAAAATAATTTTCTTTTTTTTATTGCTCTGGTAATTTCTAAGTAATAAGACATTTTCTTGGAAACATGAATAAGTTAAAGGGTTCAATAGGATTTTTATGTTACTTTACGTAACTGCAAAATTACTACTTGTTTTAGCATATATTGAATCAATGAATTAAATAAAAAAGTAACGAAAAAAAAGTACTGAATTGTTGGTAGTAATGTGTTGGATCATTTTATTTGCAATGAAGTGTACAATATCATATATTATCTAAACTAAAACTCTCGCTATTCGAATATAAGTTTATTGCGGAACTTTCCCAATCTTAGTTTTTTATCAATCATGATGTAGTGGACATCAAGAATCAAAGTAATCAAGTCTGCTTCGGTGATACAACAAATATTGTGCCGATGATATATTATATATAGTAAAAATGAAAAAAATCGTGAAAATGAGTGTGATACGAACAATTAGTTATTTAACATTAATAGTAACAATATCAGCTTTACCAATTAAAAATCAAATTATTGAAGTCCCAGATTTAATAATAGAGCCAGAAATTATTAAAGTAGCTAACTTAAATGTAACGGAAATAAAAGAATCAAATGATACTGTTGTGATTGATAAAACTGAACAGAATATTTTAAAAAATTCTGATACAGGATCAAGAAATCAAGTCAGACCAGGAATGTCGGTGTCCAATTACGATGTAGAAATCACTAGAAACGGTGACACGTTTACTGGAAGATTACTTGCTCAGGTGATCGTAGAAGACCCAAGTACACGAGAAGATGATATCGTCTTCCAAGTTGAAGGTCTAACTATAGATTCAGTTCAGTTTTCAATGGCAGGAGGGTCTAATTTCCAAAATGCAGATTTTGGTGTAGATGACGGATTACTTGAAATTAGTACTGGCATTGAAGCAACTTTGTACAATTTTAGAATAGAATATCGTGGATCTCTACAAGAGACCGGCTTTGGTCTGTATGTTGGTAGATATTTTAACGACGGGTAAGTAATTCAAACATACTATATGTGTTAATTTAATTATTTATAATATTTAATTTTTTAAAACCACTTTAAATCTGCTAGCTTTTATGCTAAAAACTTAAAGATGATGTACAAGTGTGTACTTGTGCAAAAAAGGATTCGAACCAACAACACCATGGCTTGTAGACCAGACCATACCTCAAGCCGTTATGCTGCTAGTGTGTTTTTAATTTTAAATTTAGTGTCTCAAGAATAAATTGCTATTTTTTATTCTTGTATTATTATTTTTTTACTTTAATAATTATTTTGATAGCGCCTAATGACTTCAATTCAAAGATTGACCACTGTGATTTCAAAAAATCGGTGTTTTCGAGAAGACGAATTCAAGTTAGTAGTCTCTTGACACGATAAGTTACTGACGCAATGCTGAGATGCTTATCAATGCATAAGCAACGGTCACGTGCTTACATTTGATAGTAAAACATCTTGAAATTTATGACAAGAGACGTTTAGTGTGTCTACCATAAAGTGGTCTAACAACCAAAAGGCTACCCTCTCCCTCTACTTAACTTGCATCCCACAAGGTGTGGGATCAGCTTGGCTACCAAAAGGTTTTTAAACGTAAAATACATAGATCATCATCATCAGCTCACTATACGTCCCCACCGAGGGGCTCGAAGCCTACCCTAAGTTAAGGGTGATTCGGCCCTTGGGCACGCTGGCCCAGTGAGGGTTGGTTGACTTTACACATATCTTTGAATTTCTTCTCAGACATGTGCAGGTTGCATCACGATGTTTTCCTTCACCGTCAGAACGTCGGATAAATGTACATATGTAAATCGGAAATCGAAAAACACATTGGTACATGGCGGGATTCGAACCCAGGACCTGCAGATTGCAGAAGTGCTTGACCCCTGAGCCACTAACGCTCTAGAATAATAAAATACATAGATACAGAAATAAAATATCAACATTTTGTTATAAGGGATAGAGTTCAAAGGCATACAATTTCCCGCAATAAATATTTAATATAGAAGAATCTGTGCTTTGAAGTCGCACACACTTAAGATAGAGACGTATAGTTTCTTAATCTTGCGAGAATTTCATTTTATTCCTTTATTCGATAAGAGCTGTTGAGTTGATATTGTCGGTATCGATATAATATAAGTAAGAAGACGAATCGCTCACTCAAAATTTACAGATAAACTGTTAAAATTCAAGATAATGTCAATAAATATGGCTTCGAGGAATGTGGGCTTGCGATAAGGATTCCAAAAAATGGCGTAAGTTATAACATGTGAATGGATTACTTACTACTTTCACATGTTCTTAGAATACGCTGATTCTTTATTATACGAAGAGGAAAAGGAATATTCGATTAATGTAATTCTCATTAGTTAAGGCAGCTTTTGTGTAAGAAAGAGAAAGAAAAACAAGGAACTTTAAAATAGGACGAGAATAGGATTAATAGAAAAGCAAAGATGTTGCTGAGAAGGTTTTACGAATATGTTGCTAGCTGGGTATACAAAAAGAGTAAAATAAGATAAGGGAGATAAAGCCATCACCATCGTAATTGCCAGATGAAATCTTAAAGCATAATAAGTAAAACAACTCTATGAATTTACTTTATTTCATCATCATCATCTTCCTGGACTCATATGGGTTCGGCGCACCACGTTTTGATCCTCCCGATCTATCTATCTAACGAATTTTACTTTTATGGATTTAATGACATCGATTCAATCCAAGAATTATCTTTCTTTCTGTCTTTCGTCGTTAATCTTATTCAGGTGAAAATTTTCGAGCACAAATTTATTATTTAACATGTGCGTTCTTAATTGTGCTCTTAATTTTTGTTCTTTTAAGTATTGCCTCTACAATCGTAATATAGAATTAAAAAAAAAATAAGCTTGGTGATTTCAATTTTGCGTTTGAATGCCATTAACCTGAAAAAATATAAAAGCAAAATATAATATTGCAAAAAATCCTAAGATAAAACTAACAACTGTATTTTAGGAATAATTTTCAGAGTTTTATTATTATTCTTGCTAACTGCCAAAGACGTTTAAAGGTAACACTTTTTCCAACACTCAATACTTAACAAGACACAGCATCTTTTTAAGGAGTAGTAACTATTATAAATGTTTGAAATGTTTTTTTATTAACATCATAAAAAATAAAAAAATAAAAATGATCTACGACAATCACTTACCAATTAAAGATGCTACCAAAACATGCTCATCTTGTCACTTTACGATAAAAAATGTGCAGAAACCTAAAACCAATTCTCTTTAAAGCTTCTTTGACGTAAATACTTTAAGATCATCTTAAATGTTACGATTTTATCTCTTTTGATTCTATTTGTTGACATTATCTGTGTCACGTATCCCATCTTATTTTATAAATCTATTGTTATTAATGATTTAGTTATTTGCACGTTACTTGCAGTGATCGGCGGAACACGGTTAGGTCATTTTACTATTGAAAATGGCCTGTAAAAGACAATGGAAGTTAGTCATTTTCGTGACCACAATACTTTTGAAAGTGTGCGTGATATCTCTTCCTATACCACAGAGTTCAAATATTAACGTAAATACGGATACTGTAGATAGTTTTACAGGCACATCGAAACCGAAATTAAATGTCGAAAATCTAATTGTAGGAAACGATAGTATTATAAATGAAGATAAAAAGAATTTAAACAGAACAAACTCACGTAATGATACTACTAGAAGTGTTGATCCGCCTGCATCACGAAATAATGTCAGACCAGGTCAAGAAGTCAGACAATATAGCATACAAATAACAATAGATGGTGATACTTTTACTGCTAGAAGTCTCATGGAAGTTCAACTACAGCATAATTCAAGGGAAGATGCAATTATATTCCATTTCCAAGATTTGGTAATAACACGAGTTATGACCGGAATTTTAACTGAAGCAAATCTTGACGATACTCCACATAGGGTCAGGAATAATAGACTGGAAATTAATCCTAGACAAACCGCTTCGTCTTTTATAGTAGTGATAGAATATAATGGCCGATTAAGTGGAAATGGACTCGGATTATATGCAGGATCATATGATGACAAGTAATTTCAAAACAATCTTTAGAAATCATTTAATAATTAATTATCAGTATATTGTTTTCGTTTCTATTCTTTCTATTCCTGGACGAACGACCTTCTTTATATGTTTAGGAAAATCTGGTCTATGGCAAAATGAATACTTACCCCATAAATCCCCTCTGTGTACTTTATATTAACAGATAATTTTATATATTTTTTTGGATTGTTTCAGCACCTATCTCGCTATGAACCTACATCCTACGTATGCAAGACGAGTGTTCCCTTGTATCGACGAACCGAACCAATCATCCACAATAAGGTTCACGTTTAATAACGTTGAGTATGACAACTTGGTAGTGAATTCAATGCTAGAAGACAACAGTCAGTACGTATATTGCTATTCCTTTTATGGAAATTTTTAAATGGTGATTGAAATCGCGCGACAGATAAAAATGTATTTCTATTGATTTCTTTACGTTTCGACAGAACGCACTTCAGACCTTTACAAGGTCCTCCACATTTATGGGGCATGGTGGCTCACAATCTGAACAACGCTTATTTCCCAACACCGAATGTCGTGTTGAACGGACGTCCACAAGTTCTAAACCAAGAGGCTCAAGCATCTATCGCCATTAATCATTATTACCATGCACTGAACGAATGGACAAATAAACCTTATCTTGAAATTATTCTAAATCAAAATGGAAGAATGAACATTGTAGCATTGCCTGATTCTGACAGAGATTGGTATGCGCTGTCGACTGTGTGCATATGGTAAGTCGTGAATATTTGCGTAGCATATTAGTATTCAAAGAATCATTCGAAGTAATGTTTTATTCTCTTTCACTCGCTTTCGAGAAATAAAGTATAATTATATATCTTCATTAACCATTGCCAAGAATTCTTTGTTAGACTTTATGGAAAAAATATAACTTTTAATTTAATTAAAAATTAATTTATCGTTGATTTAACTCGGAGAAAATAGTTTTTAATTAAAAGTTGACAAAAAATTATAGTACTAGATATTTACATTACATAGTAAATTTTTAAATTAAATTGCATAGTAAATTGTAAAGATGATCTCGTTTCAAACTTTTATGATGCTTAACCTTATCGTTGTGATATTGTCATGATTAAATTGATGAAGATATCCGCTGAATTCGATAGTATGTTATCGCGGTATTCCATCCAATACATATCCTATTTTTATTATAATTCAATGATCTTCAATGAATTTTCATAAGTCGCTCATCTTCCAATAATATATAACCAGGAAATATGTACTTGTTTTTATATAAGATGAATAATATGTCATAATTACTTTACCTTTACAGTTGCATAATATAATTTTATATGTTTCAATACATATATAATTTTTAAATTTTATAATTATGGATATTGGTTGGATTACAAATACATATAATAGTAAACAACAATATTTAAAATTTATGAGGACTTTACAATTTATGGTATTTTAGGGAACCGTATGTATTCATGGAAATTAACCATTCAGTGAAACAAAGACAACTGGCTCTTACTAGAATAGCCGAGATGATGTCGAAGCAATGGTTCGGTTACGTCATACACCCTGAGAACTGGCGCTTCCAGTGGGTCACCAGTGGCCTGTCAACATATGCTGGATACGAAGTGCTTAAGGACGTAAGTATCTGCCATAAGTTTTTAAAAAGTTCGATAATTAGTTCAATCAAAGAGAATTCAAATCCCAAGACTGACTTTACTATTTTTGAGGAATTTTCGAAACTTTTAATTAACCTGGCTTGTAGGCAAACCGTGCTAGATTTCTTCTAAATCTTATACAAAGTTAAAGCTAATGCTTTTCAATATATCAGTAATTTATGTATGTTCTAGTTCCAAGATGGTCCCCTTGACACAGATAATGCTTTACTAGATGTGAACACATTATTTGTAACTGAAGTAATCCAAGAAAGTCTCCTGCGAGATGCGTACATCAATACTCAAGCTCTGGAACCGAGCGAAGATATTTTTAATGAAGAAGATATAAGACATAATGTTAATGGCTTGTTGAAATACAAAGCTCCCGCTATCATGAGAATGCTAAGATTGGTACTGGGCGGAGCTGATGATGACTTTATACAGTTAGCTGCTAGAGCACTCCTCAATAGCAGGTACACAAATTCATTCAATTAGGGTAAGGTTTAAAAACCAATTTGCACAAAAATGTGCATTTTAAAACTTTCGTGTTCAATGTTTTTCAGATCTTTACAAACAGTTAATTCATTGAATTTCTACGACGCAATTAACAGTGAGTGGTTATTTGGTGGTGCTGAAATAATAGGCAATATACAAGATTTCTTAGAAGCATGGGTTCAGGCCACAGGCTATCCTACAATTCACGTTGGTTTGAGACAAGGCGGTGTCCTTATCACACAGGTAAATTTTGTTAACATTTTGTACAAAGATATTCTTTCGTTTAAAAAAGTAGCTATGTTCATTTGATGCCAAATAGCTCTGCTATTCAATACATCAAAAAAGTTACAATATCAAATATCAATCATATTTTAGGAGCGTTTTGCGTTCTCTCCTGTTACACAAAGGAACTATGAAATACCCATTACATACACAACCAGTGAGAATCCAAACTTTGGTGATGATAATATTCATCCAATAAGTGTTATTGATGGAACAACAACTTTGGATTTGGATATCGATGAAGAAGGCTGGATCATATTTAACATTCAAGCTCAAGGTGAGATTATTAAGATCATCGTCAACCTGCCTTTGGGGGTTAGACAAAGTGCATTCCCTCTGAAGCGATTCCATAACGAATTTATAAATGTATAGACCTGACAATAACTTTCGTTAAGTCACGTGATTGTCGCGCGTCAGTTTCATACATTTTTGAAGTTCGCTATGGAATCACTTCGAAACGAATGCATTTTGTCTAACCCCTGTTGTAAGTGGCCGGTACAGTGTGCACTACTCTTCCATACTCAATCAACTGTCATAGTTAAGATTTAAGTAGAAAAATATTTATAAATATTGATTTAAATTTGTTACCCACAAAGTTTTACAGCAAAGCTTTCATAAGGATAATTATATCTACGATTGTAATTCATAGTCTTGTTTATATTTTACTCGGTATTGATTTAATATACAAATTATATTATTATAGCTGTTTTTACTAACATAATCGTAAACCTCGTACTGAAAAGGTCATATAAAAATGTTATATATTTTAAATACAGGTTATTATCGAGTGAACTACGATCCAGATTTATGGGACAATTTGATAGAAGCTCTCGAAGACCCGGAGCGCAGGGAACAAATACATCCGCTGAACCGCGCTGCAGTAAGTTCATTCAATGCAATTTATAAAATACATAGATAAGATTTATTAAGACCCTAGCTTCTACCTGAAATTCCGTCCTCGCGAATTAACACAGTCTACTTATTTTTTTAATAATTACGCGTGCACGGAGTCGCGGGCAACAGCAGGAAGTAATCTAAATCTTAAACATTTTCAACCTTATGGCAAAAGTTATAAAAATACCAAATAATAATATTTTAGTTACTGGATGATGCCCTTAACTTAGCAAGAGCCAGTAAAATCGATTATGAAATCGCATTAAGAATCGCTCTCACTATGGAACATGAAACAGAGTATGCAGTTTGGAAGGCATTCGTAAGAAATATGAATTTCTTGAGGAAACGACTTACAGCAATGGTTGAAGAAGATGATGACTTAGATCAGGATATTTATTTGGTAAGTAATTCAATTTAATTAAGATAGTTTAAAGTTACAAGGCATTATTATGCTGACAACAAAAATAAAAAGCTTACGATACTAAACATATTCCTAGTTTAATGACATTGAGACGGGAATAGTGGATAGATTATCAATATAATTTCTTGTTTGTTGTATAACAGAGAATGGTGAGAAGAGCAATTGTTGCATTTGAAGATGAAATTGGCTTCCAACCGGAACGTGTAACAGAACCCGCCATGGTATCCCTAACTAGAGGTTTAGTGATGGACCATGCCTGCAGATCTAACTATGATCCCTGTATTGCTGTCGCCATTGACCTGTTTTATGATCCTAATAATAATGAAGTTGTGTAAGTCTCCAATGCTATCATAATTTAGTTGTATTAGTAATTTCTATATGCCGTCAATGAAGCTATTCCATCTATTAAAATATTGAATTAAAAAAATCTAAGACAATCATCCAATCATATCTGAGAATTATTATTTGAATATTGCAATTTTGATTTTAGAAATCCAGACATTCCTCGGGATTTGAGACCAGCGGTCTATTGCACGATGGTGAGAGAGGGCGACGAAGATACGAGAACAGCATTATATGAACGATTGGAAATTGAACCATCGTATTACGAGCGTATCGTAATTTTGGAATCACTGGCCTGTTCTCAAGATGCCGGTTTTATAAGAACGTAGGTTTCATCCAAAATCAAATGAAATAAACAATTTTAATTTAATAAAAATTAATCTGTCTTTACTTCTTTTAATTTATTAGGCTTTTAGAAGAAACAGTAGCAAACAATAGCCCGTACAGCGCGGAGGAAAGCGTAAGAATCTTCAAAGCAGTCGCAGAGAGCAGTTATCAGAACGCAAGGCTAGCTCTCAGCTTCATATCGTTGAGAACAAATGAAATCAGGAATAGGTTAGTATTTCTTTAATCATTTTTCCAATGTTATGAAAAGTCACCAAGTTTGGACCTAAAATATTAGGCATAAAAATAAGCTTATTTAACTTCAGAAGTTAGTAAAATGAAGTTTCATCGTCATCAGGCTTTTTACCCAATCTTCAGTTGTATGTTTATTACATTTTTTTTTGTATAGGTACGGCGGTGCAGACAAACTGGAAGAAATTATATTGACACTAGGAGAAAACATGGCGAATGCAGATTTGTCAACTGACGTAAGTCTTGAGTCTTTAAAAATTAGATTGCAATATTAAGCTGTATTATAGAAACAGTTTCATTGATTTAGGAATTATCTTAAAACTCATTCTTAACAATAAAAGATGCAGTTTATTGTTATTTTATCTGAATTATAATCATAATAATAATTACGTAAATCTAATCTGGGTTAATTTTGTTTTCAGTTTATTAACTGGACTGGTTCAAGGAACAACAACTTGGATGATTCTGAGAACTTTGCAGAACGAGTAGCATCACACGTTGATGAAAATGTAGATTGGGATAACGCACAACTCGAATATGTATACGAATGGATAGATGAAAATGATGCGTCCACTGTATTTGTTTCGGCAATTTTAATAACACTATCTCTAGTTATTACTATTTTCAATAATTAATTCTATTATTATTTAGAGTAAGAAATTATTATTATTTTGAGTTAGCAATTATTAATTATTAATTATTAATACTTGAATATTTTATTTCATGAAACTATTTACTAAGTATATAAATTAAGTTTTATAATAATATGGAATAAGCAATATTTTAGAATTTAAACTAATAGACTATTAATTAATTAATCTAATAACTTAAGAGTAATGTTATTAATTTAGGTGTAGAAAAATACATTTTTTAATTTTAAGCTTAAATATTGTACAAAACGAAACTCTATATTATCTGGTTAGATATTATATGAGGTTTCAATAAGCTCCTAAATATTTTTGCAGCATATTCAAATGTTTCGATTTAACAAAAAAAACAATAGTATGGTTTAGTACAACCATGCTATTCTATGTTGGAGGCCTAATTTTCCTCTCTTCTTTCCCAATTTTTTATAATAAGAAATGTAAGGAAAGGGGAAGCTGGGGACGCATAGGAAGAGGAAGTATTCTTTTTCTCTGTGTCCCCTTATCCGTTGACTAAAGAGAGGCAATGTATTTGCGATTGCGAATGTCTATAACAAAATATTTATTAATTTTTGAAACATTTTCTGATAAGATTTTTATGATATTAAACTGCAAATTATTTACGGAGTGAATTGGTTTGTAATCACTTCTTCTTATACAAATGTGTAACTAGATTGGTTGATATGATTTTTCTAATGGATTTTAAGTTTAAATTAAAGTAGAATAGAGTTGAATGTTGAATTGCACAAAGTGTTAGTTAACAATATTTTTTTACTTAAGTAATCAAAACTTATTTATAATAATGTACCTAAGTAGTAAATATATATTAACAACGTAGTATATTAAATTTAATTATTATTTGCTTATTATTAATAAATTAATTAAAAATAATATTTAAGAATTAATTTTAATATTTTTTATGCTACATTATCACTCACGGCTTTTTAATTAAAATAATAATATTAAATTATTGTAATTAGAACTTAATTATTTATAAACTAAATTTGTCGCAAACGCGTCCTCTTGCTTCAAATTTAGGTTTATTTTATTCATAATTTTTTATTATCAATTGTAATATGTACATATTGTGTGTGATTAATAAACTTATAGGTAGTAAGATGGCGATTTTCTTTTCTCGAATGCATTTTAATATAGATGATGAAAATAGACTTATTCCTAAGCTAATTTTGTATTAATAAACTTTGATGGGGGATTACTAATATTATATATGCGAATTTTAAGATGTAGGGCTGAAGGAATATTTATGAAATTTGGCATAGATATAGAAAATAGTCTGGAAGAATACGTCGGCGGTTTGTAATGTTTTTTTTTATTCCACGTGGATGGAGTCTCGGGCGATAGCTAGTAATAAATAAAACTAATATCTTCGTTTAAGTTTAATATTTTTATAATAAATTATTTGTTCGTAGTTTATAAATATTCCAATCAATATGAAATAAGTATTATTCGTAGTTAAATAAATAAGAATTAACATTAAATAAATAAAAATTGACTAGATTTATAGACAAATACAATAATATCGATATCATAATTATTTATTTAATCTAAGAAAAAATTGCTTAAAAAGTTTCCGACGCAATTTTTTTTCACTTTACGTAGTGCTTTTTTTTGTGACTGAGTAGTCACTGTTTGCCTTGAGGAGGCATTTACAGTTTCACCGGGCTTGAGGTGGCCGAGCGCAGATGGCGCTTAGCCTGAACCTCGTTTATGAATTTACGTAGTGCAATTTTTTTTTTTAATTAATTCTTTTTATTAAAAAGCAAGCCAATAAATAAACTGAGTAAAATTAGGAATGTGATTAAAATAATTTAGCAAGTTTTTTTTAGTTACATAATATTATTATTAAAATAAGTTAGTCTTAGTAATGGCAGCGCTTGCAATATTAATACTCGTAATACTTGATACAACAGTTAAGCTAATTTAATAGAACACATTTGTCGTCCATTATTTTAAGCTTCAAAGTTAGGTTAGGTGTCCTTGAAAATATCGATTAGAATTAATGAATCGATACAGACATCAAAAAAAATTTGAAGAAAAAATTTTTTGTAACATAATTTTTGTAACACAGCGGTTTTTTGTAACATTTTTTTGTAACATAGTATAAAAGGGTTCAATGACGCAACATTGCAACAAGGATTAATGGTGGCCATTAATTTAAATATGTAACCGAAACTTAAAAAAAATTTGCAATTTAGCACTTTTGAGTTCAAAAAATTGATTGAACGTTACATTTAATGATTTTTCAAAGGTGATCTATGAAATTGACTCTACAAAATAACATTTTTTGTGCTAAACAGGCACAAAAACACATTTTAATACGCGTGATCAAACACTTGCACAAAAAATAATATTGTTTTCTCTATTTTTTTCATAGAATATGAGAAAGATGGCAGATTGTTTTTACAGGCGGTTCGTTATTGAGAAGTCTTCAAATTTGACATACTAAATGAAATAATACGTCTCAGAAATACTTAATTGGTTTCCATTTATCCAGTAATTTATCTAAATCTTTTTTATCTAATAATAATAGTTATTAATAATAATAAGATTGTAGTTAACAAGGAAGAGATTATAGAAGCAGATCCTCCGGGTCCTGCTACTAAAGTTTGTGCAGTTGTCGAAGATTCGGTGGTTATCACGAACTGGAAAGAGATAAAAAGTAGATTAAGTCGCACAGTCAGATAAGTATAATAGTAGTCCCTTAGTGTTAATTTAAGTGTGTTTCTGTCAGTGTGGAAGTAAGTACCACCCCTTTTCTGATAATAACAATAATTTTGATATAGAATCTTAATAAGTAATTCTAAATGTGTCACCACAAAAGTAAATAGATAAAAACTAAGCAAAATTTGACGGAAAAGATTATTAAGTCTTATATTTTTATAAAAAAAATTCCAGCAAATTACATTTACCTCAGTCGTTGAACGCACAAGTTCCTGTGGCCGAGGAGTTCCCATGGGTATTCTGTACATAAATCTGTTCTGTTCCCGCCTAAAATTTAACAGATAGAATAATTAAAAAAGTAAACTAATTACATCTCAATCCGTTATTGTCTAGACCTAGAATAGTAATTACGTATAACCCTTCACGTATTTTATTTTAACATTAGCTGTGGCCGCAACTTCGTTCTCGTGGTTGTCGTAAACACGATCGCGATTATCTTTTGATTGCTCACGTTGGTTTATTTCATAAATATTTTTTCAGTAACTTAAACGAAACAACAACGAAAGTCCTCAAAATGTGAATATTGTTCTGCAACATTTCTCACTGACGCTTTGTTCCTATTGGTCGCAGCGTAATGTTATAAAGCCTAAAGCCTTCCTCTATAAATGGACTATCTAACAAAAAAAGATTTTTTCAAATCGGACCAGTAGTTCCTGAGATTACCGAGTTTAAACAAACTCTTCCGCTTTATTATAATATTAGTATAGATGTAACTAACAATTTATGTTCTGCGTTGATTTTCTCCTCAAATTCGCAGCGATTCAGGCCCTCACTTCCGATATTATCATTTGATTCGCTTTGAAATACATAGTAATACGTTTCTCGGAAATCTGGATTAATTCTGAAAACAATTATTTTACTGGTTATTTAGATGTAGTTAGAACATATTTAAATTATGACAAACACAAACAAGCCTTTTAATAAATATGACAAAAAAACCAATGTATTTCTTGCTGAAGTTTGTAAAGATTTTCACAGTACCTCTGTCTCTCGAGCGGTGCACGAATCTTTCTCATGTAGTTCAAGCATGGTTCATATCTGAGGGTGCAGGCAAAATCAACAACAATACTTCTGAAGAGTCGTATGTTCGGACGTTGGTCGCGGTTGTCTATTAATCGTTTGTACAATGCGGCTACTTTTGAACGCATAAATTCCTGTAATATTTAATAATTAATACTATTTAAAAATAAATCAGGATCCCTGAGTGGCTTTCATCATCATCATCAGCTCAGTATACGTAACAGTGACGTGACAGACAGTGACAACGACGTACAGTGGGGCCTGACGGGCTCGGAGCCTACCATAAGTTAGGGGAGACTAAGCCATAGTCAAAACGCTGGCCAAGTGCAAGTTCACTACACACATATCTTTAAATTTCTTCGCAGATATTTGCAGGTGGCATCATAATGTTTTCCTTCACCTTAAGAACGTCGGATAAATGTACATATTTAAATCAAAAAAACATTGGTACATGGCGGGTTCGAACCCAGGACCTGCAGATTACAAGTCAAGTGCTTTAACCCCTGAGTCACGGACGTTGGCTTTACTGAGGACGAAACACGAAAGTACACCTCACTCGTCAATAACCATCCTAAATCAGTCGGGTAAAAACAACAAACTTTAAGTGATTTGAATTTCGAACATATAACATACTTTTTTAAATTATCTTAATTTTTTATTAGTAGTTTACAATGTGATTGTCGAGTACAATAGAATAAAGGCCACGTACAAAACAATATTAATACGAACTTCAATTGTTTTTGTCGACAATGATAAAACCAATAAAGCCGAGTATAAACAAATGAAATTGCTAGTATTTAAACATACTATTCATGAAGTTTAACTATTCCTACTTTAATAATATTGGTGTTAAATACGAAACAGACCCAACTATTAGAAAAAATAATAGTTTTGTTTTTCGGTTATTATTTGTACTGTAGTACCTGCCATTCTTGATACAAGGTCTTTGTCATATGACAATTAGCGCCATCTATCTTCAACAAATTAAAACCATCAACAGCAGCATCCCAAACTACGTCGCTCAATTCTTCATTGAGATAATCCAGAACTGTCATGGCGATGTTTATATCCAAATCCCCAGCGCTAAATAGCGCAAATACGTCGTTAACAATCTGTAACAACGATTATAATATTACAAAAGGAAGAACTTCATTACCTGTTTTGTAAATAATCAATTTACTTTCCACCGCAGCTGAATATAAGAGTAGTTGCTAGTTTCAAACAACAGATGGCGGTAGTACAGAGGCAAAAATAACAAACAATATTTTAAAACTTTTATAAACAATTTTATGGTTTTAATTTTCGTGGTTTTTATCAACATATAGTTCCTAAGAAAGGAGATTCTTACCACGATTAATCTGTTAGAGGTTCCGATATATTTGCACGATAGCATTTTTAATAAATGAGTAATATCAGGTACTCAATAGCTTAATCCTGGTAATAATCTCGTTTCTTTGTAGATTTTCGAAACAAACGCTTATTTTTGGTATATATTTTTTTGTATACAACAAAATTTAAAACATACCTGTGCTCTGTTCAATTCGTCAATAGCAAGATGGTCTTCCTTTAATGTTTTCGCAATAAGTCTCCACGTGTAAGTATCGTAGTTCACACGATAATATCCTGAAATTTATAAAATAATAACAAAGAAATCACCTATATTAGAAAAATAAAATAGGATATAGGTAAAAAGGGTAATATGTTCACCAATAAGACAAAAATAGTACTTTTGATGGGAGAAATGAAGAACATAACACATGTTCGTTTCTGTTTCTGACTCAAGTCGGGATTTTACACATAAACGCATGAACTCATGCAACGGTTCCACAAATAGACCGCAGATTATATCCACCTCGGCCAAGGATTATGACACACCCGGCGTCACTGCTTTAAGGTCAGATTCAAGAGCGTTCTCTTCTAAGAATATTGTAAATAAACAAAACATTCGCAATCGTATTTTTCACATCAACTACATTTTTTCCTTAAATTTTTTTAAAGATTTCGCATTAGTGTTATTCAGGCTTTATACGTAGTATAAATAGTAGATGTCAATAAATAAAAATTGTTGAAACGCAATGTTATTATCAACAGTATTTACATAAGTCCTCGGATATCTCATTTATGTATATACAACTAGCGGCCGCCGGCGACTCTGTCCGCGCGGTTAATAACAACTTCATAAGTGGCCTATGTGTTCTTTCAGACTGTGTTCTACATGTTTGCCAAATCTGATCAAGATCCGTTAGATCCGGAGATATCATCAAACAAACTTCCACCCATCTAAACTTTCGCATTTAAAATATTAGTAAGATAAATTAACATATTTATTTCGAAAATTGTAGAAACGGACATATGAATGATAAAGGTTCAAATATTGTAGTAAAATTACCCGAGGCATTCCTATTAAGTATTATCCAACCACCATCCAGATTCTCCCCGAAGGAATACGTCTGCATGCCGATAGTGAATCGAGGCTGGTGGCAATTGAAGCAATTCTCATTGTTTTGCATTATGTATGAAACTGGGATCAAATAGTTGGAGTCCACACGATTGAGGTTTGTGAAGCTAAATTGCCTCTGGAATAAGAAATAAAATTAACCATTAAAGACATAAAAATAATAGCTGTTGAACTATTGAAATAAATTCACATCTATGTAAAAGGAAACAGTAGATATGGCAAATAATATCAGGTAAAACATGAAAGCCACCAACACAGGGTTAGTGTACTAAATAGATTTATAAGATACTGTGAATAAGGAAGAAGGTCCTGGATTTCCATGCGACTAATTAAAGCTAAAAATCATAGAATTTGATTTACCTGCTTAAGAAGAATTACATTAGGATTCCTATCTCTGAGAACCTGTACGTTAATAACAGGATATCCAGCCTGATGGAACCATGACTTTAAGACCCTGGATGCAGTGGAACCGTTGAAGAACTGATGAAGACATTCCACCGTATCTTGATCCAAGCTTATCATGAAATCTTCCAAAGATATGTATTTCCCTCTCCTGTATATTTAAACACACGTGTAACAATGGTAATAAAAAAAAATTGTCGTTACGATAAGGTGATAGCAAGGGAGAGACAAATTGTTTTATTTCTTAACTCAGATGTGGATAAAAGGTAAAAAAAAATGTAACTAACACGGAAACCACGCCATTAGTACAAATAGAACAGCGCAAAAGAAATGGAACGGAAATTCTCCATAAAATTTATTTTTGAGTTTAGTATAACGATTGTGCACATATAGATCAGCGCACTTCACGGTTATCAAAATGATCTTGACCTATATATTGTTCAACACTCATAACTTATTAATACGAAATAAACAACGTTATTACACTTGTAGTCATAGATAATTTTAAGTGTAGTTAACCAAACGTACCTTGAATTAATGTATCTTACTAATGCCTTTTGAAACTTTTCTGATCCCAGCCAATTCTCGACCATCCATAGTATTGAAGCGGTCTTCGTTGTCACTAGGCTTTTGTATCTTGAAGGTATTTCGATAGCCAGGGTTCTGTTGAAAGTTGCCAATGCTGGCGTACTGTGGTACCAATCCACTAACATCGCCTTGTGCTTCATCTCGAGGCCGTATTTACCTATCGGTGAACTTTGTCCTAGAGTTTGCTCCCCGTGATTGTACTGAAATATTAACATACAAACCTACAGTAGTATAGAAGCAGCAGTCTTTTCAGAATTTGGAACAATAAGTGAAATATACAATTGGATTGAATTTTCGACTTCAGAAATATATATTTATGTTCCTTAACTGTACTAAATTGTTTTAGTTCTATCAGTCCGTGTGATTTACATTTCATTTTTTGTATGTGCATTACCTGAGCTAACAAATAATATGCTAAATACGTAGCAACCCCTTCTTTGAACCATTCTTCTTTCCACCTCGTTCTCTCGGGCTCTCCGGGATTTCCAAGCCATATCCTGCTCAGCTGCTGTGCGAGTTCAAACTTCATCAGCTCCATCTGCTTTATACTAGTCAGCTGTGGCATGTACATCAGTCTGTTGTCTCTGAATCAATCAATAGTATTCGATTAGTTACAGTGTTTAAGTCAACAGGGGCATGAGCGTATTAATAGACCAGTAAATTTAAATCTGGGTTTAGCAGGCGTTAATATTCAAAGTTTTCAAAATAACTCAAAAATTAAATACTTTTTGTCAGTTTATGTATTCGACATTTCCTCACTTTATTTTCCTTATCACTTAAATAATGAATCATTTTTATTACAATTAATCGTGTGTTTACAGACATCGTTCAGTTAGATAAAATTAATGTATGCATAAATCTGCTTTCACTAACATCTTAAAGAATTGTCGAGGTCAACAGTGCCAAGGTTAGTCGTAACGTAAGCATCAATGTTTTGTTTAAAATTTCTGCTCGCAATGTTTATTTGGGAAGAGCAAATTTTCAGAATAACACTCAAGATGAATAGAAAACGATAACATTGTAAATATTTCTATGGAATATCGACGTTTTTGGTTTTTCCCCTATTATGCTTAGCAATTGAAGCATTAATAATAAGGTTTTCAATCCTACAAATTTATTAAGATGTAGTATTACGTTAGCCTCTGGAATATGGATGGATTTCATCAAAGGTGACGTGTCGCAAAGCAGTACCGATTGATGATCCATAAATCTTGAATACAGTAATATCAAAAGCACTCATAAAATATATGAATTACACTTACCCATTGGTCAAGAGATTCCAACTTCCTATCTCGTATCCATTAAGGATGGATGGTACGGCCACTAAATTAATCGGACCGAACACAAGCGGTCGATTGATGGTTGCGTATTCGTGGATAAGATTTATAATCGACTCTCCGAATTGGAGTATGTAATTATAGTTCTCTAGTGTAGATATTGGTGCCCAGACAATTAATGTGTCATTGGTTTTTGTGGCTACGACGCGGCGATTACCAAAATTCGAATGATGAAAACCGACTTGGTACAACGCAACTTGTGGTGACGGTATATATTCGTATATTTGGTAGTTGTTACTAGCCCTGTAAAAAAAAATTATATTTTACCCACGTCTCATTGATAACGTCAGTATTGACCATGAATAATCCTTAAAGACTCTTCGTTAATTCCTCTATCTTATAAGTTATCTGTGCCTCATTAAAAAAAGAAAGTACACTTCTTATAGTAATACAAACTTATAATTGTCTCAATTATTTATCTCTTTGAGTAGTCTGCTGGACAGATATTTCAATTTTCTCTATGGCTTAATATAGACACAAGTTCTGAGAATAAGAAAAAGTTGTCGGCTTTCCCTGATTATAATTGTACACTGAACATATAAAGGTGTGGTCATACTGTTAAGAGTACTGGCTAAATAAATAGCAATAAAACATATAAAGGTGCGGTCATACTGTTAGATTAACGTCTGAAATAAAGAGTGTACTAAAAGTATTTTAAAATGAAACTTTTATACAATAGTTTTGGTCTAGAGTGGGGTGGGGTGAGTCTTGAGGTGTTTCTCTCTTTAGTAAGTCAATTGCTTCTAGTTTTTTTTTATAACATTTCTAACCGTTTACTTCTAAGATTAAAATCTCTTTTTCTCTTTGACAAAGTAGAGATAGCAATATGTTTTAAACGGGGATTTAGTGTCAGAAACCCATAGTAAGAGTATTTGTCCATTGAGTTGTTAAATGTGGCATTCTTCGCTTACAGTCTGATCGTACACAGTCCATTAAACCGTATTAGGTGATCGAGTGGTCACTGGGAATTGTGTCAATTAATGTGGTTTCTTTGTAACCGGAACGTCGCTCAGTATCTCCGAACACCCGGACAATTTGTAAGTCAAGAACAAATATGGAAGTGACTTAGAGAATTGATTGCCTTAATTGTTATATCAGGACTTATTATTTTATTAGATGGAGCAAATTTTCAGAGTAGCGGCTAATTTTAAATGATCAAATGAACTTAGACAACAACAGGGGAATCGCAGCATCAGTATGTGTTCATAGCAGCTAGTACGACTAAAACTGTTCAGATGATAAAGAATTTAAGTCATTGTTCCTGTTTTTAACATTAAATAGTATTGTGAAGAATGAATTAGTTTTTTAAGAGAAGAGGGCAAACCAGCAGCGGGGACACCGAGGTGTTTATCGACGCCCATGGACATCAGCAATACCAGAGGAACCGTAGATGCGTTGCCGGCCTTTGAGATGGTGATACGCTCTTTTCTTGAAAGACCTAAGTCGTAGCATTTGGAAATACCGTCGAGGATAGACCATTCCACAACGAGTGCGAGGCAGGAAGCTTCGCGAATACCGCACGGTTGTGGAGTTAAGCATATCGAACCAGGTGAAAGTGTTCTAGTATTTTCATTATCTGACTGTTTCCTTACATTAAAAGTTCTAGACATAAACACTTGACTAGCTATTTCACATTGTATTCCACAGATTATATGTCAACCACACACCGCAAAACATAATAACTAAACTAATATCGTTTTAATGCACGTTAAAAGCAATTTGAATGATGCAACAATGTACTATTATCATTCCAAAGATTTTTCTATGCTTTTAAAAATCTTACTGCTTACTAATATTATAAAATCTTTAGATGGACGGATAGATTGATGGATATTTCTAAGAAGATATCTCATAAACGGCTGTATGGATTTCGTTGAAATTTGGCATACATAGATGTAGAACATAGTCTGGAAGAACACATGGACTACTGATTAAGTTATTTTAAATGTAATTAAAAATATAATAATAGGGCATATAATTGACTTACGTGTAATGACGTTGCTCTTGAGATATTACCAAACTTGTGTTTGAGTTTTGCATGTCGACTCTTGATGGTGGCAGAAAGACTTTGAATTTGAAGACAGCCTCGAAGCGCGGATTGTCAAAGCAGGGAAAGAAATATTTCGCCTTGTTAGGTGACAGACGTGTTGTGTACAAATATCTGGAAGAAAGCGTCCTTAATAAATAAATATATCTTAGTAAACACTGCGTAAATTTGAGGCAACAATGAAAAGCAAGATTCCATTTGATCGTGGTAAAGCATAATGTACATTTTAACAATAAATTAGGAATATTTTAAGACAAACTGCATTTGTTAACTACTAGATAGCTAGGCCTTTTATCTGTGTATACTACGTTCCACGTAAAACGTCTCCCGATATGGAGCACGAGACAAACTGGTCGCCCACGCGGATGTCACAAGGCCGTCTTAGAACCAGCGACGCGCGACTAATATGCACTTCAATTGTATCACAAAGAACCCGTTTGACGAATTAGAGATCCATAGTAACTCCTAATACGCACTTTAGGATAATGTAACCATAAAGTGTTTGATTGCATGATTGTATTAAGAGATTTAAGATAGAAAAGAAAAAGCTCTTTGTACTTGATTGGTAAAGCAGGCCATACATAGTACACAAATCTATACAGCGGGGCTAGACAAAATGATTTCACTCCGACGCGATTCCATAATGAATTTCAAAAATGTATGCAACTTACGTGCGACAATCACGTGATTTATCGAAAATTATTGTTAGTTCTATACGTTTTAGAAGTTCGTTATAGAATCGCTTCTGAGCGTATGTACTTCGTCTGTTCTGCTATAGACGATAGTATTTGCCTGTTGTACTTTAAAGGTCCAAAAGACCTGTCTAGATCCAAAACAATTTGTTCTATTCATAAATAGTTACATTTTTAAACCTTGATTCCGTTCACTGTCAAGAATATTTTTTGCTATAGACAGACTTGGTCTATCGACTTTAATTAGAATCATTATGTTATTTTCCCCATTGGTTCTCATTTACATTGCTTACCTCAGACATTAGCACTTTGTTGCCTAGGCAACGTTAGCAGTTTAGTTTTATTGCCGAAAACACGGTGGGCCTAGCACGAAAATTTGCGACAAACGCATCATCAATTAAGATGTCTGAATTAGTATTAGGATGGCGCGATGAACAAATTTTAGTAAAAATTTTGTCGATGATGATACGATGGCGAACGAATATTTGAAACATATATTCGTTGTAGGTCGGCCCACTGAACCCAATAAAGAAATATTGAATATATAGCTTATTTAAGATTAGATGCAAGAAAAGGTAATGCGACTTGATTTTTTCCGCTAAAATATAGCATGTCTCAAAATTTTGAGTCATAAAGTGGGATTGTTTGAATTCAATTTAAATCATTGTTCTGTATAGCTTAGTTCAACGAAGTTCAGTTCACAGATAAAATTCAAATAGACTTCTTTTGAATATACAAAGTTCTTACAAGAAAAGTCTAAGGGTTATAAGTATTTGACATTTGTATGTAATAAAGGGAGAGGTTATTGTTGAATGAAGCTAACGAGCCGTAACATTAGGGCTATAAAGTAACTCCCAAAGCGTCTTGATGACAGGAAGCAATTCAATGAAGGTTACATTTGTTTACAAAGTACTGATTCCTCTTTTGTAAATTTATTTATTCATATTATACAGTGTTTTCAGGGTTCCGTACCTCATAGGAAAAAAACGAAACACTTATAGGATCACTTTGTTGTCCGTCCGTCCGCCTGTCAAGTTTTCTCAAAAAATGCGTGAAGGTATCAAGCTGGAATTTATTATATACCGGATCACAAGTTCGAATATATTTGTGATGAATTTCATAGATAAAATTAGTTCAGTTTTTTTACGTTGTTTTTTTAGTCACGTTTTATTTTTTGCTCTAATTTAACACGAATTATATTTTTCAGTATTTATTGACCTTGAATTTGTAGTTCGTTATTACTGTAATGGGTTTACGTAAGTGATGCGTCCGTTGAATCGTTTGTAATAATTGCAGTTGACATTCAAGTTCAGTACAACTGTGAATACAACTGCAATAAACTACACAAAATCTTCTAAAGATATAGTTAATATTGCCATTTACAGACAGAGGTTGAGATAATTACTCAATATTTTTTTTTTATTTATAACTTGTCTGTTATTTATTTCTATACGAAAATATATTTCAAGAGCATCTAGGTCTTACTAATATAATAAATCCGATTGTTTAGATGGATGTTTCTTTTGAAGGTATCTCCAGAACGGCTTAACGTATCACGATGAAATTTGGCATACATATAGATTGAAAGAACACATTAGCCACTATGATTTTTTTTTAATTCCGCAGGGACGGAGTCGCGGTCGACCGCTAGTTATAATATAAATTAAGCAAACAATTAAAAAAAAACTACAAGGCAGTCTCCCACGTTAACTATATCGTAATTTTATTGCATTTACTGCGTTAATTCCAAGTTAAAATCGAGGAAGTGTTGTAAAAATCGCCCCCGCGCAAACCCATAACAATGTAGGCGAACAAGGTGAACCTCGTCTGCATTTATACGTATTTTAAAATTATTTATTTTTCTATAAAATACGAAATAACTACAGCTGATAGATCAGAAAACCTTGCTAACAATATGATTCTATCTATAGGCTACATTTTTCTATGCGTTAGCTACAATTTCTAGGTTTTTAAAAAGAACAAGTTCTTTTAACAAATTTACTTTAGTTACTTGCAAACAAAACTGAATTTAGCATCCATGAAATTCGCCTCTTAAACTAATATTATTTGTTTAATAATACATTTATTTTATCATTGTTTTAGCCGGCCGCTTCGCCATTTCGGCGAATTCAGGCCAGTTGCTCTTTTGCTACCTTTTAATAAAAAAAAATAAATTACGATTAATTTTATAGACAACAAAGACGCATGCGCATACAAACAGAAGATATTATTTTTAGTCTCATTGTCATAACACGATGTGGTATATTTAATTCATAAGTATTACGCTGCGATTGCGTTGGCCATTCATAATTTAAAATTATATGAAACAGTAAAATCGATTTAGTATATAACATTAAACCGTCATTTTATATTTTTTTTTAAACACGACATAAATTCCGACAGGAATGTCTGACTGATATCTGTATTTTGTAGTCCTGACACTAATTATTGTGTCGCAAATTTTTCTTCAATTAGAGACACTCATGTTCACACTGAGACATTCGAGATTTCGAGATTAGAGACCTTAAGATCGCTGAGAACGGCACAGAGATGAAAACCCAACTTTTGATGTTATAGAGGAGAGGCCGCGATTCATAGTAATGAAGAAACGATGCACAGAGAGAGAGAGAGACAGAGAGAGATAGACCAGACAAAATTTAATGAAATATTTTTAATTTAAAATTTTGTTAAAAAAAATTTTTTTTTTTTTGTAAAATTTATACGAAAAAATTTGAACTCTATTAATGAAATCAAATCATGTTTTGGAAACTTAGAAATATTTTACTTACTTGGTAGTACCATCTTCATTATAATCCAATGTAAATATTCCATCACTTTCTTTCTTCAAACGTTTATTAAATGATATTTTCAATAAATATTGAGTCTTATATACATTATACTGTTTTAAAGAATCAGCTAAATATATATACAGTTTGCCTCTGACTTTGTCGACTTCGTAAGGTCTATGTTTGTTCACTAAGTCTAAATCTCCATCAAGCACTTTTATAGAATCTCGCCTTATGTCCAAATCCCTCGCGTCCATTTCTATGACTCTAACATTCGGGGCATTTGCTATTATAGTAACAACCATATTGCAATCGTAATAAGAATCACCGGTTTTAAAAATATAAGGTATTATTGTTATTTCATATTGCACTGGATACACCGTGTAGTTTAAACATTCTTCGTCTACGAAACTTCCTTGAATCGTTGTACAAAAAATTAAAAAGTAAAAAATGGAAAGGAACATTTTTTTTAATTTTCAAATTTCGAACTAAAGTTATAGACACGTCCTCGCGCGACGCGCGTATTACTGCGTTTTGTATTTCGCACTGGCCATTGCCTTGGCGCCAAAATTGACCAGCATAATAAGACCTCCCCTGCCTCCTTTTCATCGCATATTAACGGCCAATTTTCGGTAACACAGTACACTAACATGGCTCTTCATTATCTGGTTAAATAGACGTAAACTTACGTACAAGTATGTAAGTTTAGCGATTTTTTTTGTTTTAGTATCTGGCTGGTTTTACTTTTTTGTTGCTATAAACTTTTATGTGCATATTTTTGACGTAATATGGTAAGTTAATGCGATTTTTAATGGTTTTTGTTGTCATAAATTAAGCCATGACATAAATAGGGTTCTATGACTGCTAAAAAGGGCGGACAGACAAAAGAAAAGACCTGTATCGTCTTCGTATGGTTATGAGTTATGAGGCTACTCACTTGAACTATTATTTTGGAAAAACATGAATTGCACAAATTATCAAAACTAAGTGACTTTAAGTCAATGTAAAATCAATTAATTTGTTTCATGAAAATACTTTATCTTTTTCGAAAGAACATCAATTTTACGTTAACAATCGAATAACCACCCTGTAGTTTAAAATTGTACTCTTCTACAAAGAAATGATAAAAATATTTACATCAAAACGATCTTAAGGATCGAGTATTTGGTTCGGTGGTTGGAATGTAATATTTCGTCATAATGTTTGCTCGTAGGAACGGATGTCAACGGCTGTCGTATTTTATTCACAACATGTAGTTGTTCATAGGAAATTCCATGTCATTGGTAATTGAAACAACATTAAAAATCAATAAAATATTTATTACTATTCTACTGGTTTAGTGGAGTGGGATCTCATCGAATCATAAAGGCTTAGTTAAATTATTATTAAAATATCTGTACAAAAAAATATTATCAAAAATAACATGGTTGTTTATAATTTACACTTAAGAATTAAATTACATTAAGATATATTTTTATTAATTAAATAAATTTTCAATAGGTGCTTAATAATTAAATAAAAACAGAAGTACCGTTAAACAGCATAATTTATCGGCATTTGAATTGGCACGTCAATAACTGGAGTACACTTATCCCTCACGTGCCAACATATCGCTGTTAAGATTCTTAAAATTTAGCAAACATAGAGAATATAAGACCTGCTAATATAATACCAAAAGAAGCGTTGATAGTTGTTCCAAGACTCTTAAGGCTCTTCATAATATCAGCTTTATGTGTGTCAGCCCAGGTGACTGTCGCGCGTGCTTTGCCCAAACCACCTCGTGCTGCGGTTACCGCCTGTTCGCTGCATTGACTGCACGAATTCAACCAGGCCTCAAACTGTGAAAGATATAACAACATACACAAGTGATAGACAGTTTAGATAAAGCAGATGTTCGAAATATTTCGGCAACGCATCTGCAGTTCCTTTGGTGTTGCAGATGTCCATGGGTGTCGTTGATCACCTCGGTGTTCCCGCCGCTCGTTTACCCCCTTCTCTTATAAAAAAAAATATATTTCCCTACAAAGATTTTATTACTAATCATCCGTAAAGCAAACATTAGGTGCAAATAAAAGTGGTTTACAACAGAAGTCTCAAACTAAATCGTAACAATGTAAAAGCCGTTAACAATTTAAAAGGTCTAGATATTTGAGGATATATCAAACGGGTGTTTACCTCTTTCTAGGTCTGTCTGATTAAAATCATCAAAATTATAAAATAGTCCTATTTTTCAGGGTTTCGTCTGATTAGTGAGGTTCCGAAAATAAGAATCTAACCCACATTCTTTATCCTAACACTTAATCAGTTTTATGAATCATTTAATTTTTCGCAGTTTCCTATCGAGAATCTCTAAAAATAGTGTAAATAGGTCAAATGAGTCGTACGAATCGCGGAGCTAAAAATGATTGTGTTTGCAAGGTCACGAACAAATTTACAATACGGTAATGGCGGGCTGCCAGTGTGCATAACTGTTTAATAAATGTCATATTAGCACCAACAATGACCTTCTAACCTTCACTAGGTTATCGAGATGTTTGTTGTAGGTCATTTATTCGATTATTTGAGCATGCAAAGATTTGTAAGGTTATTTGAATCAGGATTTTTTGTTACCATCAATTGTCTGAGTTAGTTCTATACTTAATTAATGCTCAGATACTTGCAGTCTTACTATCTTATTACTATTATAAATGCGATAGTTTAGATGGATGTTTGTTACAAGGCATCTCCGGAACGGCTCATTGGATCTTGATGAAATTTGGCACAGATGTAGAACATAGTCTGGAAGAACACATAGGCTACTTATTGAGAGTCCTTTAATTCCGCGTGGATGGAGTCGCAGGCGACAGTTAGTATTTATCCCTTATAGATTGTGGATAGGTTATTTTGAACCCTTAATACGTTAAAAGCCAATCCGGTCACCGGTGATCGGATCTCTGCACGCATTTAAACGCTATCTAGGGCACTTGTGACTTCAAGGTTTTTTATAATATCTGCGAAACCTAGCTTCTGATTGAACCAGGTATATTTTGAAGATTCGACATTACGCATCTATTTCTAGCAAAAAGTTTTTAGTGATTTTTTTTCTAATTCTAATATGGCGTTTAACGTGTCTTCCCTTCTTATTAAGATCAGAAAATCTCCGTCTCTGTGAGGTGTTTCGATTTTTTTTTAACCATAAACATACGCAATAGTATCATATCTAATAAAAAGCGTTTTAACGCGAATTTGCCTTTATTGACCTTCTCTTAACTAATTGCTTTGTCACTGTGACCCGAATGACCGGCCCTCAAACAGTGCTTGGTGTTACGCATACATTCATTAAGAGCGCTTCGCTATTGTTTGACGAAGTGTTCCAACAGGGAATCCGCTAGCTTTTGAAACCGAGCTCTTCCACAAATGTAAGGGTTACGAAAACAAAGATCTAATTTGCTGACAAAAACAGAAAGGTGCTAATTACTAACATAAATAATAATAATAAAGTTTTTTTTTATTTCCATAACTATTTTCATGAGAAATATTTGTTAGGATTGTTATAATTATGTGTTCAGATATGGATCCCACTATGGGTGAAGGCCTCCTCCAACTTTTTCCAATCAGTTCTGTTCCGGCCTAGAATCCAGTCTCTCCCTACTTCATTTATGACGTCATCAGACCACCGTTTATTTGGTCTACCTATATTTCTTTTTCCACTTGGCCCAATCACTAATATACAAGTAAAATATTATCGCAAAAATATTGGATAAATGACTTGATTAGTACATCTTTGGGTGGTCTTCGTCTTTGAAATAGAGATTTGGTCATCTCGTATCGAATTTGGGACTTACCTTTGTAAATTCATCAGTAGTTCGCAAGCTGGTGGCGATAGTGGACAACACTGAGTCTATTGATGTTGTATATCTGTGAAAAAAATCAAATTGTAATCTATTACTTAAAAACAGTTGAGAAAATATTAGACAAGTCCTTGCGGCAGAGCACTTACATTTCATTCCAAAGTGTAAAATTCTGTTGCAAAGCTTCAAGTACAACAGGTACATTCTTGTAATTAGACAGAACACTGGACACGGGGACTGTCAAATCTTGTATCCTTATAGGACTGTCTTCTACTTGCGATGAAACTAAAAATCTGAGAATAATATCAATTTGAACATTATAATTTAAAATATTGAATGCAACTTAAAATCTTTAAGTGGCACTGAAATAAATAAAAGCACTCAGTTGCTATTTTTTAATAGAAGAAATTAGCTGATGGAAAACAGCTTAGTTTTTTTTTATTATAGGAGAAGGGGGCAAACGAGCAACGAATCGCCTAATATTATTTGATCCGACGCCCATGGACATCCGCAGCGCCAGAGGAACCGCAGATGCGTTGCCGGCCTTTAAGGAAGGTGTACGCTCTTTTCTTGAAGGCCCCTAAGTCGTAACTGTTTGGAAATACCGCTGAGGACAGGGTGTTCCACAACGCGGCAGTGCGAGGCAAAAAATTACGCGAAAATCTCGTCGTTGTGGAGTGCCAGCCATCGAGATGGAAAGGATGGAATTTGGCGCTCTGTCGACTCGTACGAGTTTATAACGAAACTATTTTTTGATTGAATTCAAAACATCTGACTTGAAATAAAAGATAAAACAATAAACGACCAACAATATAATAAAACCGCACAATCGTATCATAAGTTCAGCAATAGATATATATTACCTATTAAGTTGAGACTTATCAGTTGTACAGCCAAGTATCTCGCCAATAATCCTGGCTTCATTGGCCACATTGTGAGTGGACATACGTCGCCACAAGAAGTCATAATCATCAGCATTGCCATATCGCAGACCGGTGCAATAAGCAGCAACTCTGAGACTTGGAGATATCCTGTAATATAATGAACCCTTACATATGCATATAGCATTCATATTTTTTGGTTAATTAATCAAATAGTAGAAGGCTAGGGAGGAGTGTCGGCGCCACGTAAACGTGGTCACCGAGACCTGATGACCTTGACCAGTCTGAAAAGACTGCAGCGACAAAGAAGAAGAACTAGAAGACTTCCTAGTTTTCATTCTGTACAATTACTTGAGATAGATTGTGATACTTACTCTGTGCCGTTCTCTTTGAGTCTCTTAAATAATCCAAGACTATAATCCACACAACCTTGGTGTCCCAACTTGCAAGCGAATTCTGTTATTTGAGCACGATTTCTAAGGGTTACAAAATCGTCCGTCGCTTTGTCTTCGTAGCCTATTTTGTTGATAATGTTGTCAATTAACTGTAGCCCATAGTCCTGAAATCAGATAATAACATCAAAAAATTAGACTTCCTTGGTTGTAACTTTAGACTATGAAAGGTATGCCTTCATTTATGATGTAATTACCTCAATGATTTCTAAAGCATCCGATCCTAGATAGAATGATCGTAATTTATTTAGACCTCGAATTGCAGCGTTCCAGACCGAGTAATGTGTTTCATCAGATAAAAATTCCAGCACCTCGTACAGAAGTTCAAATTTCACTTCGTCAGCGTAAAGAAAAGCGAATAAATCATTGACTATCTGAAATACAAAATTTTATTATTCATGCTTTTGTACTGTACCGGTTCCTGATAGCATTTCTTTTAGTATACGTTAGCAAACGAGCAGGCGGCCACCTGAATTCCTGTAGCCTATTCTTACGTCGCCAACGACGTGTATTAAAATTAAAAATTGTCAAAAATGTTATTTGTAAAATTGGTGAATATCTTACTTTAGCTCTGTTTAGATGATCAATCTTCTCCCGATCATTTCCTTTTAATGCAGCAGCGATCAGTTTCCAAGATTCCATATCATAGTTCACTCTGTATAAACCTAAAGAAAGTAACATTTAGAATGAATCCTAAAGCATTTAATAAAATATTTTCATAGTTATAACAAAGACACAGTTCCACAATTCTTTCATTAATTTAGATATGAAAAATGCTTCTAGCATAGTTTCTTATCTGAAAAGTAGTACGTGTAAACGTCTTTACCTGTTTCTTGCAAATTGAAAATAACCCAATGTTTGTCTGTAGTTTTAACCTGTACATCAATAGTCTCAGTTTTGTTATGCATTATAAACGATGGTTTGGTATTTTTGAAGTTCGGTAGCAGGCCCGTTGTTAATGTTATTGGAATCTTGTATAATTCATCTGATTGAATCGAAGAGTTGATGTAGAAACGTTTCTGTCAAGTAACATAACATAGATAAGATGATAACAACCATTTAAAAATAAAAATAAGAAAGAAATAAGAAGCAATATTAAAGACAAAACAAGGATTAGTAACCTACTAGCTATCGCCCGCGACTCCGTCCGCGCGGAATAACAAATAAATAATTAGTGTTCTTCCAGACTATGATCTACATCTATGCCAAATTTCAGCGAAATCCGTTCAACCGTTTTGAAGATAGCTTCAAACAAACATCCATCCATCTAAACATTCGTATTTATAATGTTGGTGAGATTAAATAGGTAGCGTAATATGAAGAAAAAAAATGTTATTTCTGTAAGCATAATAGAATTAACGCTAAGAACAAGCTACTAACTTGGGTTAAAGTAATTTTATTCTCCTCGTAGTTAACATCAACATGTAGCACTGGATGACCTGATTTCGATATCCAAGAACTCATTACACTTGTAATATCAGTTTCTGGATATGCCGATAGCGCGTTATATGTTACAACAGCATTGTGCAGACTCGTGTACAACCTATCTGGATAACCAACGTCGAATTCACTGCAAACGAAGTCGAATTTTAAATATTTATTGTAAAACCATAACAGCACGGAAGTTCCCGCGCATTATCTTTCCTCGTCGTCTAAAGGTAGGCAATTGCAATCTGCAATTGCTTATGTCTATGGTTAGGCAATTCAAGAATGTTTCCTCCTTTGCCATCTTATACTATTTATAAATAAGTACAAAAAAACATTGCCAAAGAAGTAAACATTTAAAGAAATCCTAGATTTTGCAACTTACTTGGTTCTCAGATAAGCGTTCAAACCAAATTTAAAAGCGTCGTCTCCAATCAGATGGTGCATCATTCTTATAACAGATCCAGCCTTTTGATACGTTACTGTACCAAAATGTCCGCTAATTTCAGCGGGAGAGTTGACATTATCATTGGTGATAGCGGGTGCCTCGGGAGAATCATCTGCTTCGTAAGCGGAGTACACTGATCCAGTCACAAGCATGTCACCTGCTCCTACAGCTGGTTCGATCTGTTGAAATTCCGGAACAAGACATATAATTTTTTATCAATCAAACGAATATTTGTCGGTTATTTAACGATTCTCAGTATAATTTAGGCGTAAAACCGTGAGGATTGACTTCACAACGATTTTACATTTGTCAAACTATCTTACCATTTCAGTTATGTAATCCTGGAAATAATTAGCGAATCCTTCATTAAGCCAGGTGTTACTCCACCAGTGGCATGTGACGAGGTTGCCGAACCACATGTGCGTTGTTTCATGAGCAACTATTTGCGCCACCCTGTACTTGTAATGTGGAGTTGACACTTCTGGCACGTATAACAGTAAGCCTTCTCTAAAATATTAAAAAAAATCACAGTCGGTTGTTTCCTTCAATTTTTTTAACTGAGAAACAAATTATTACCTGTATTTCACTAAACCCCAGTTCTCCATAGCTCCGGAACTAAAATCTGGCAACGCGACATGGTCCAATCCTATTTGGCTGTTTGTAGAATAATAGTCGATTCCGAAATAATTTCCCAAAGCATTTACGACCCTCAGACCAAAGTCAAAGGCATAGTCAGATTGATTCTTCGCCTCTGGTCGAGTGTAAACACCAAATTCATTCGATCCATTTATATTCACTGTTGCCTCAAACTCGGAAATGAGGAACGCAACCAGATAAGTCGACATTTTAGGTGACGGGTAAAACTGTTCCCGTACGTAGCCATTTGATCTAAAAGTTTTAGTTTGTTAACGTAATGTATAGATATTTGGAAATAAAATGAAAAAAATTGTAAGATCGCAATGATTATAAGTATGTTTCCTTACAGATTGACACTATTCTGTAATTTTGTATTAGCCCGTGTTTGCTTATAGCTGGCAGGTCTGTCAATCGTCAACGTAAAAACAGCTTTCAACGACGGCTCGTCGAAACACGGGAACACTTTCCTACCGTGCGTTGGCTCAAATTGAGTTGCACCCAACCATCTGAAATATACGATTTTATTAGAAGCATAGCAATAATATAATAAGTTTATGCAATTTTGTAATTATATAACATGTTACATTTAGAACATTTAAGTAAAGAAGAAGAGCTTATCGAAAATTGGCTTTGGGATTATCACGCGTTCAGGGTAATTTTGAAACCGTTAAAATTACGCAATTGCAGTAGGACACCTACTAACTTAAATACCTGAGACACAACCAGGTACTTTTTTAAATAGATAATTTAGAAAATAAGAACTAAGAGTTATATAAGATGGCGTAACCGAGCGAGGACTCAAAATTGCTCTATCCACAAGGATGCCAGAGTTTTTTTTTTATAACAGAAGGGGGAAAACGAGCAGCGGGAACACCGAGGTGTTCAACGACGGTTGGTTGGTTGGTTCAGTTCTTCAATTCCCAACAGTATGTCATACGATATTTAAGATTCAATTTTTATCATATGGAATACTGTGTTATACAATTGCTACGTTTGTGTTAAGCCTGTACAAAAATCCCCGTGATAAGTTGTTGATTTAGCAAGACTCGATCACATTATCTGCTTGTTTGTTCATGCTTCTTCACATTGTCATAGACAGATAACAGAATGCGGATTACTTTAAGTGGTCTATTGCTTTATCTCTTTCATGTTATGAATGTACTCGAATGACAATTTTTGCTAGTAATATGATGTATATTCTGATTATATCTGGCCGTATTTTGAAATATAACGAAGTGTTTTTTCCTTTTTGTTTCATTTAGTTGGCTCCTACTCTATGCTAAGTCACAGTCAATTTGCGGTATTATTCTATCGAAAAGATCCGCGACTTAAGCATTGAACTTTTAATTCATCATCATCATCATCAGCTCGCTATACGTCCCCAACGAGGGGCACGGAGCCTACCCTAAGTTGCGTGATTAGGCCATAGTCAACCACGCTGGCCAAGTGCGGGTTGGTTGACTTCACACATATCTTTGAATTTCTTCTCAGATATGTGCAGGTTGCATCACAATGTTTTCCTTCACCGTAAGAACTTCGGATATATATACATATGTAAATCGGAAATCGAAATAACATATTGGTACATGGCGAGATTCGAACCCAGGACCTGCAGATTGCAAGTCAAAGGCTTGACCACTGAGCCACCGACGCTCCGTACTTTTAATTAATATATGTAAAATTTATTCAAGATACTTCTAAAACTATGCCAAAACGCCACCATGCTCCGATTGCCTCAATTCATAATTGCCCCCATTAATCTCGTAAATCTAACTTCATCTTTAAGCCCACTGGAGTGATAACATAATCTTTATGAAATGAATATAATACTTACTTCTTAACTCCATTTTCATAATAATAATTTCTATAAAATCCTTTCAAATCTTTTCTTATTGGACCGACATAGACAATCTTTAAATTGTATTCAACATTTGCTTGCAATTCATTTTCTAAACTTATCAATGCAAATGTATATTTATCATCGAATTGTAAACCAGTTATTGAATTCGATGTGCCACCAGTGATAGTTATATTTGCTGCAGAAAATTTTAAATCCTCCGAATGTAGTTTTATTTCTCTAACATTGGTTGCAGATGTAAATTTAATAGTAACTTCTCCATCAAAAGTGAATGCTCTGTCATCAGCTGTATCAAAATACGGCGTGATTAAGACGGAGTATTCTGATGGAATTATTGGAGTATTCAGTCTATAGTTAGTATCACAGAATACATTCTCCAATATGAAAATAAGTACCACTATCTTTACTATATTTCGAAGCATTGCTGAAAGAGAAATATTTTATTGATTACTCGTAGAATTAAGTGTAGAAGTTTGCTTGATTCAATCGAAATTTAAAAGTAAATAACAAAAGACTGCCACACTTAGAGAAGTTAAATATTAAACAAGTTATTTAATATAGATTTAGTAGAAGACATTTTCAATAAGGGACGGCTTTAGCAATTGTATGAATTGAATACGAGAGTTCATATATTGAAACATAACATGTAAAGTTTAATTCATTCATTCCAGAAAATTTAATTCAACTAATCTGCGAAAATGTTATTGCAAATTAATTGGACACATTTAATTAAGTTAATGATAAAAGATCTTAATTGCAATTTGTGGAATATTATTATTTGGTAAGGTCAAGTTATTCATTACAAAGAATAATTATATTTTCCATATGACAAAGTAAAATTATTAATAAAATTAATTGTTATGCAATATGATGATCTAGATAATAATCTTATATTTAATTTATTTATCTTTATGTTAATAGGCTGTGTTTTTAAGATTATAAAGTACATTCTCCGTTGTTTTCTCAGCTAAGCCGCGGTACAAAAAGATGTCACGTGCCAACTGTTGCCTGACTATTCTCGAATTTATTTAAATAAAATTCTTATCTTAAAAGTACCAATTTTTTAGTTAACAATTTGATAATTAATAATTTAATTAATTACGTGATTTTCTACAATCAAAACTATTCGAAAATATATTGCAATCGGAGATCCTAGGAGAACCTAGAAGATTTGAGGGGATCGGAATTATTTACGCAAAAAAAATTACAATAAAATGTTATTGTATAGATGTTTTGGCAGCAGGATACCAACATAATAAAATAATTATGTTATTATTATTAACGTTTATAATTAAAATACATTTTCTAGATACTATATATCATGAAATTATTAGTGTCAATAATTCGCAAAAGTATGTGTATTGTCAAATTCCTATATTATTAATAAACTTGCAATTTTTTTTAATAAAATAATGGACATACCTGACGTGTTAGCTTCGACAGTATATTGTGTATACTATTCATGTGTATCATCGCATTAGATGTTTGATAAGAAACATCTCAAGTATTTACTTATCAAGGATTCGTTGATAAACGTTACCTTCTGTCTCAAGAGAAACTTGACAGATTCACACATTGTAAAGTAACTGATCAGTATTATGTTTAAAACTCTTGAATACAGTGAAGGTAACAGCGAAGAAACATGTATATGTCAGCGTAAAAATTTAATAACTGTCTGAAGTGAAACACCTTGACGTCACTGGGCTGAAGTCGTGTCCTAAAACTTAATCACCCCTAATTTTATAGTTCCCTGGGTAGGTGTAGTGTATGCATAAACGTAGTGTTGTTTGTCTCGAGCGTACACGCCATAAGTACATGCCGGAGAGAGGGGACGTCAGTCGATGTCAGACCTTTGAGCCGGCAACACGTGTCGGTACGTGAACGAGCCAAATATAGCACAACAAATGCTACAGTAGGGATGTACACCTACAGAATATTGAATTTTAAACGTTTTTCTTGGGACTTATCGGTAGACATATAAAGTTTTAAATTCGTTTGGTCAAAAAAAAAAGATTTTACAAAATACTGTTTATTATTTTCATTGTGGATTACAATACTAAACAATCTCCTTAATTTACACGTTGAATAAATTATTTACAGTTAAAATGATAATAATTTTAAAATAATTAAATAGTGTTAATGGCAGATTTAAATCTATCTTATCATCATTGCGATAGATGTAGTCAATAGCAGCATTATTGTTGGTACAACGATTGCTGCTGAACCCCTAGCTGCTCTTAATATCGCGCTAGCTCTGTCCGTGCCCCATTGCATGTTGGTGCGAGCTGATGTAATAGCGTTCAATCCAGTCTGGAACTCAGGAACGGTCGCCTGATTCGCTCTGAGCCACGCCTCCATCTATAAGAAAATTATCTTTACAATCATCTTACGATAACAAACGAGAAAGATTTGTGGTTATAATTGTAATTTTGATTTTAGTACGGACGCTACTAATAAAATTTAACTTACGTCCTGAAGACCTTCTTCATCCAAATAGCTTGCCAAATTGATAAGTACGTTATCGAACCAAGCTGGGAGAACAACACTGCAAGTGAAAAAAAATTAAATCATCAAATACATAGGAAAGTTCTTCAATTGTAATAAATCAGCTTATTTTAATTATCTTCAAACGCCTGATTGTTTTATGAAATTTTTAGTACCATACAATATTTCTGCTATTTAATTATAACAGGCGTTTTCGGTCTACAAGTGATAAAACTGTGTAAAGTACAAAGAGATTTACAAAATGTTTTTTGTTTTCAATTTTTATTGAAAATAGACAAGTAAAACTTTGTACTTACGCTCGTCTGATATCATTGACCCTTTGCTTTACAAACTGGAGAGCCACCTTGGCGTTGTTGCGATCTCCCATGTATAGGAATGTTAGTGCATTCACTCTGTCTTGTGCCTTAACGTCATCGCTGAGTACCATTTGTAGGAATCTAAAAAATACAATAAAATAACAGTAAAACATTTCAAATCCACATTAGTGCGGGTGTGAAGTTAAATAATATTGATACTATTCACTATTACTTACTCTTGTATAGCTCTTTCGTTTGTGGTACAACCCAAAGCTCTCAGCATGGCAACTTGATCGCCCATATTGTTAGAGTTCAGTCTTCGCTGGTAGAGGAAGCGCCAGTCCTCGTAACCACCGTCACGAAGACCCTCGCAGAAAACGTGTCTTCTCAAATTGGGGTTGACACTAAAATAAAATTGTTAAGAGTTGATTCTTTGGTTCATTCGAAAGTATCGCGTGACAAAGTATAATTTGCATATGAAGTAATGCAAAAGAGTAATCTGACGAAGTAACGTAAAAGGAAATTGACCAAACCTTAGAAGCCATTATGGGTTATTTATTATTTCACGACCAAATAGATGATAATATGTAGATTTGCAAACTACATGAAATGTTGCCAATCAATTTATATTCAGTTACTCATTTATTTTGTAATAAATATCTTAATATTAAGTTCCAGCTTATAAACCAATCTACCATTAAGTTATTCAATCTTTCTCGAGATATTATACTAAACTGATATATAAACACGGCTAAACACTCACGTATATACGTCCGGTGGGTGCCGCCACCTGACGAATATACGTGAGTGTTTAGCCGTGTTTATATATCAGTTTAAACAATCTACCAAATCATAGCCCTAATCTTGACTTAAACATATTTTTTCACCAAATTCTAGAATATATCTCAGTCAGTGTTAATATATATCATATAAAATCCAATACCTTACTCCATTTGTTCGTAGAGCTGTAAACTTCTCAACAGCATTGTTGAGGCATCCTTCATGACCGATGTTGCAAGCGTAAGCTAATATGAAGAATCTATTCAAAATGGTTGTATGGGTATCGGCAGGTCTAACGTCGTACCCAAGTTCATTGATCACGGCGTTCAAGTATCCAAGTAGGATCGCCTGTAACACATGAGAGGATATGATAAAAGACGCAGTCAAGTATATAGTTTTAGATATTTTTAGTTAGAATCATTTGGCGCGAATGGCGCGCTTTGATTGCAAAGTCAAGTGTCAGAATAATTAGTGAGGGGACATAAACGTTGACATTTTAGTAAAGCTGGTGTTGTGCCAGTACACCGGCAGTGTTGGATTTCTTCCTAACAATGGTTAAAGAGGTCGCAATAATAAGGACTGGCTTTATAGTGTGTTATTCCTATACCGTTTGACTGTGAGTTCCTATAGTCGAAAGTCGTAAAACATACTGTCTTCGATTAAATTAAAAAAAATTACTCACGTCAAACTCTGCGAGAGTATCTGGCAAATGTAAGAACCGATTCCTCAACCAAGTGAAACCGCTGACAGCGGGATACCAAACGAAGAAGTTAGTCTCGTCCTTCAAGAATTCTAAGATTTGAAATCCAAGGTTGAATGTTATCCTTTCGGATCTCATCAAAGCGAAAACATCGTCAACGATCTAAAAAAAAAAGACAATTGATTTCAAAATCTGAGCAGCCAGTTAAACTTAGACAACACGTTTCAGAGACTACATATGACATACGAAAGACAAAAAGAATAATAATAAATATTTTACCTGTGCTCTATTTAAGTAGTGTATGTTTTCACGGTTTTGTTTCAGAGCACTGGCTATCATTTCCCAATTATGGGTGTCATAGTTCACTCGATATATACCTAAAAACATAAACAACTAAATTATGTTACATTAAAACGGTTGATTTACAACTAAAGGTCTAAAAGTAATTAAGATTTAAAGACTGACGATAACGATGACAGTGTAATAAAAAAATTGGCGTTATTTTATTAACTATTCTTTTTTTTTAACATTAGCAGATTTTTGTGTAAATTTACTAATATTCCTTTAACCATTCCAAATAAGCTCTAAGCATGTGCTAGGATAGGGTTTACGGAAATCCGTACCTTTAGCCATCAGGCTATTGACGCTTCAAATGTTTACCGTCAATTGCCAATGTTGTTTATTTTTGTTACCTTTTTGTTGTAGATTAAAAATGACCCATTCGTGTCTGGCCTCCTTCTGTATACGATGAGTCTTGCCAGTCATCACTTCACTGGCTTTAAGATTGTTCCAGTCAGGGTTGCTGCCAGTTGTATAAGTGAGTGGAAGATGCCATGCTTGGTCTGTTGTCTGAGCTGACGCACTGATGAAGAATCTCTCCTAGAAATACAGAAGCAGGTTAGTGAAGAATAATGAAAACCATTTGTGAATCATTTAGCTCTTTTCTCCATTTTTACAGAGTCAGCTTACACACCTGAGTTAGTTCAATCAAGCCAGTATTCATATTGACATTAACGTTCAGTACAGGGTACCCACGCTCCTCCACCCAATATCTCATGAACTCTGTCATATTAATACTTCTGTCAACAGTCGAATCCTCTGCGACAGCTTTAGCAAAGCTTTGGTATAGGTGGAACGGAAAAGCATGTTCGTAAGACCTGAAAGAAAAGATTTACTACACAATTGCATCACCAAGATGTGTATGCATCAGTAACAATTTTAGATTAAACAGAAAAAAAACCTTCGAAAAGACGATGTAACTAAATTCTGTTTGACAATCAAAATGTAGAAATTGTTTGCACGTTTTTAAGGAAATTGTAAGTATGAACATGTAAGACACAGATTAAGTTAATGTGGAGTGCATAAACCTATTTTTAATCACAAATAAATAAAACCCGAGGTTACGAGATTATAATAATCAATATTTACCTATCAACCAAAAAGTAATTCAACGCCTTTCTGAAAGTGTTCTCAGTAACGAAGTGTTTCAACATGAGCAGAAGTGAGGCACCCTTGCTGTAGCTTATACCAGAGAAGTGGCCAGTCACTTGAGCTGGCGTATTCACTGTGTGCTGCAGGGCTCTAGTGGAAGCTGACTGGTCGGCGGACAGCGCACTTTGTAAGTAGAATACGTTGAATTGTGCTTCTAGCTCCATTGAAGGATCAACCTGGACAAATATTGAAATGGATAAATTCTCTGAAATCATATTTAAATGTTTTATAAGTAATAATACTTACCCCATCCATGGCAAAATATTCAAAGTATCTGGCAAAACCTTCGTTAATCCACACGTTGTCCCACCACCGGCAAGTGACAAGGTTACCGAACCATTTGTGAGCTAATTCATGGGCTGTGATTGTTCCTATGTATTTCTTGTCTAAGGCATTAGTCTCGCCTTCCTCGTACAGCAGACGAACTTCTCTGTAGAATAAGAAATATAAAATAAATTGGAACACAATCTATTTTCAAGGCTTTGTGCATAAATAAATTAAATAACGTAATAAAAGTAAGTACTAATAATAAAGTAATGTCTCACCTATAAGAAACGAAACCCCAGTTTTCTGTAGCTCCAGAAGCCCAATCAGGGACTGCAATTTGATCGTTTTTCATATCAGGTCCCATGGTATAATAGTCAATACCGAAGTAGTCCTCGAACCAACGTGTTAGGGGTGGTCCAACTTCTAGTGCATATTCCCCTTGTCCGCGAGCATTGGGTCGCGCGAGAATACGGTACGGTCTCGCAGCATCGTTATTATCTGCTATGACAGTAAACTCTTCGCTTATATGGAAAGTCACCAAGTACGCAGACATTCTTGGTGTTTGATGGAATACTTCCTTCACTCTGTCACCAACGCTATAAGGAAATAAATTATAAACAATCGCTTCGTGGTCGCAAACAAACGAGAAAATAACAATAGTTAAGTCATTATATATTTAGAACATGAATATTTTTCGAAGATGTCAGTATTTTATCTAAAGTATAATTGTGAAACTTACACAGTACTCTCAGCGATTCTCATATTAGAGTAACTTTCAGTGAAATGAATAGGCCGATAGATAGTGATATTGAAGGTTGACTTAAATCCTGGCTCGTCAAAGCTGGGGAAGACCTGCCTGGAATTGGTTGGCTGTAAATGTGTCGCGGCATACCAGCTAAAATAAGAACAACATGCATTAAGAAAACTTGTCTTTTTCACCATTAATGCAAAATTATGACTATGTCAGGATATTGTTTACTTACTGAATTCTTCCGTCACTTCCTTTATAACTTCCTCTAAACACGCCTCTGGATAAAGGTGTTTCGTTAATGTTCCCTAAATATCCAATAGTCAGTTTGTATACGCGATTATTTTCTAACGTGACTCCATCTCCTAAGTTGATTCTTAAAAAGTGAAACTGACGGAGACGTTCGAAAGGATTCATTGGATTCAGAAGTATCGGTACATTTGCCTCATCTGTGACTGTAATGTGAAGGATTTCTCGTACATTTTCCTGCACGATTAGGGAGTTGATGCCACTTCTCGTTGCCTGTAAAGTAAAAGCATTTTAAAATAAACTATCATCAAGATACTATTAGGGGCTATGCGAAAAGTAAGTTTTTGTATAAAGAAACTAAAGTACGCATTGTAAATTATATAATTTTAGACGAATGTACTAAGTCATTAATATTAAACAAAAGTTACGAGGAATAAAAGAAACTATTGCATTAACTAATAGATGATAAAAATACAGATAGTTAAGATAAAGTCATTAATCAAATACTTACTCTGACATAAATTGTAACTAAACCATCAAAGGTAAAAGCTTCTCTGTTAGAAGTTGCTTCAAAGTATGGAATTATTTCTGCATCGTAATGTATAGGATCTAGATCTTCTGGTAATCTAAACATGGTCTCAGCATCGCTGCGTTCAATTTCCACGTCAGGAACATCGAAATCCAAGGGAAAATCAGTTTTGACGAGGGTTAACAAAACGGACAATATTGTCAGTTTTATTATTAGTGACATTTTCCTGAAAATATACATTTATTATCCATTAAATATAACTGAAATAAGAGATTAAATCAATCCTAGATTATTTACTGGTATGTTCTGCTCTTATCTGTTTTATTGAAATTGCTTAACTCCCAGTGTTAATGCTCTATTTTCTTACAATCGTACATGTTTGAAGACTTTTTAAATTTTGTCTAACACAATGAATACTTGAACTATACAAATCTTCTGACTGAAACTTAATTAACCGACGTGGCAAATAGTGGAATAATAAATAAATGTTAATATCAAGGTCAATTATTTCTTACTAATATTAAACGCGAAAGTTTAGATGGAATGATGGATGGATGGATGAACGTTTATTAGAAAATATCTCTAGAATGGCTAAAGGCAATCTCCCTAAAATTTCGCACAGATACAGAACATCGTCTGGAAGAAAATAACCTTTTTTTTTCAATTTCGTGCGGACGGTGTCGCAGGCGATTCCTAGTATAAGTATATTTTTCAAATTTAAAATAAAAAAATGTAAATTCCACTTTTAATTTAAATTATTTAATATTTAAGAGATTAAAACGTACCTGTCCATTTTGACGGCCTCATCAAATGAACACACTAATAAAAATACACTTTATCACGCGTAAATAATTAATGACCTGTCTAAATTATATGGATTACTTGATATTTCTTGCATATTTTGATAACGATAAGATATAAATATTTAAAGGACGTATCAGTACAAAGTTATGTATTTTATACTTACTACTGTAAATTCATTTATATTTGGTTTCTTTCATATATCGTTTGTTTGTTTAAATGCGCTAATCTCAAGATGTACTGGTCCGATTTGAAAAGTTCTTTAATTGTTGGATAGTCCATTTATAGAGGAAGGCTTTAGGCTATATAACATGATACTGCGACCAATATTTTTTTTTATTACGCACGGACGGAGTCGCGGGGGACAGCTATTATAGGATAAATTTTCAAACGTGCCTTCTATCATAAAATTAAAAATCAAAACAATAAATTTCTTTAAGTTATTACATTTTTTATTACATAACACTTAATTACTATCTTATTAAATGTATTTTAAAGGTATTAGTTAACTAAGTGTAATTTAAGAACTATTTAAAGGTACCTATAGACATCTATTTACAGATATTTTAGTTTTTTAAGACACTTGCCATTTCTAGTGTTCTTATATCTACAACATTTTTATCACAGTCTGTTGAATGGTTTAGGAATGATCAGAAAAAAGATAAGTGGATTAAATTATCACACAATTAATTTGACATTCATAAACAAGTTGTAGGATTAGATAAACAGAGGATTTTTTCATAGTGAAGAAAAAATTAAGCAAAAAATATTATAACTAATCCCGGAATGTTGGAAAGACGTTACATTTCTTAGTAACGTTTCTTTATTGGAAAAATATGATAGAGATTATTCAAGATGTTTCCAAATCCCATATTGTTTTTATCGCAATAAGATTAGTATTCCGATTTTGGAAACACAGATCAGAAAAATACACAGATCATTTTGATTCAAGCATATATTTCCTTAACTGTATGAAATTATAGACTCTTATTTGCACCCCATTTACATCATATTACTAATATTATACTTGCGAATGTTTAAATGGATGGTTGGCGGAATGTATGGATGTTTATTTGAAGGTGGAGATCGGCTGTATGGATCTCGCTGAAATTTGGCATAGATGTAGAACATAATCTGGAAGACCGCATAGGCTACTAATTAAGTTATTTTTTAATTCCTCGCGAACGGAGTCACGGGCGATAGCTAGTACATTCATACGTCCACACAGACTCGTCGCAAGAATACTTCTTATAATATCACCTCTTTAGAATTTAAAGTATATATTGATGAACATAATTATAAAATTCAATATTAAAATTTACTTTAAGATTTGTGGTTCTTTAAATAAAACAAAAAGAAAACAATTCAGTCATTTTATTATTTAAATATAACAATTATGTAACTCAAACGATTAAAGTAATCATCAGCATAGTGACCAATAATACGGTTGATATAACGAAATGTACAGCACCACCTCTAGCAGCCTCCAGTATAGCTTCAACGTTGCTATTACCCCAAATAATGTTGTTCCTCGCTGATGTAATCGCAGACAGTGTCCTATCGTACTGAAGGGAACCGAATTGGGTACTGCGAAGCCAAGCTTCGTACTGGAAATAAAAATTAAGTACTCAAAGGTGGACTCTTAGACTAATTGCAGATATAGTATGCGAAAACTGCACTAAGAAACTGTATTCTTAAAAACTATAGTTAGGCAGATAGACCAAGAAAATATGAGGGAAACCTATTTAATTGAAATCTAAAATTACAAAATTAAGTAGCAATTGTAAGACAATATCTTTATGTTATGTCCAAAGATGTTTAAATTCGATTGATTTAAATATTCCAAGATGTAATTACCTCATCCAATCCAGCATTATCTAGGTATGAGGCAAGATTGACCATACATGTGTGTACCGGTGTTGGGGGAGCGTCTTCAATGTACCTAAAAATATTACATTTAGTGACATTACTTACATTTTTATATATTTAACTAAGAGATAACTTTTGAAATCACCAACTAAGAATAAAAAAAGACATGGTATATTCACTTTATCTACAATTTAAGATAGCTTTTCAATTAAACTTATCAATATAAATTCTAAAATATAAAGTAAAACTAAACTTATGATGGTGGCTAAATTCGATTTACATTTTTTTTATAACAGAAGGGGGCAAACGAGCTGCAGGAACACCGAGGTGTTCAACTCCATCATAGTTTAATTAAATATGTACATTTATATACTCACGCTACTCTCATGGCATCAATATTGTCTTTGACAAACTGCAGCACATGGTAGGCATTGCCCTGATTGCCCAGCAGAGCGTAGTTGAAGGAGTTGGCTTTGTCATGGGAGCGAACTGCCTTTGTCAATGTCAGCTGAAGATATCTGTAATAATATAGTTTCATTCAGAAAGGTCATGGAGAAAGTTGCTCAGGTAAAAGAAATATCTAAAAGGTGAATTATAATTGGATTTGCAGCGCATATTTTTCTAACATACTTATATCATAAATTACTTCGTATTATAATACATTATGTAAAAAATGCCGATACTTTGTATTCTAAAATACCAACCGTGTAATAAGTTCAGGGCTGCGCGCCGCACCTAGACCTCTTAGCATCTCGAGCTGGTCGTTCGCGTAGTTGGACTGAGTCATGCGCCCGAGCAGGAACTCGAAGTCACTCTGATCGCCTTCTCTGATACCAGTCACGTACACATTACGACGGATTCTTGCATCCACCCTGAAAATTTACCACGGAGTGTCATTAAAGTCGATCCGTGCCAAAATTACGGACAATAGAAATACGCCTTTACCGTGGTCATGCATGCCCGAAAATTATTGCAAACTATGATGTGTAAAGAATATTTTAATTGGTTTTTAAGAACAGTATATTCCTTACTCCTCAAACCAGTATGAAGATATCCAAAGGGCATAGGGGGACAAAGATAACAGATTTTCATTATACATGATCCTAAGCTTTCAAATATCGACGGTATTGAATAGTACATTAATCACATTCTTAAATTATCTCACAAAAAACAAGAAACTAACCAATTTCCATTCTTGAGCGTGATAAATCTATCTCGTGATTCCTTCACACATTTCTCGTGTCCCAGTGTGCAGGCAAAATGGAGTACTTCCTGTCGAGTGAGACTCGTAGTGGGGCCTTCGTTACTGGGTTCGAAACCTACAGTTTCAATCACGTGCTCCATTTGACTCAGAATGAAAGCCTACAAACAAATTATTATGAGGTGAAATAAATAAAGGGTACGTTTTAATTACATTTTGCGATTGAGTCTGTCTTTTGCAGTTTAAAGCGAACTGAACTAGCCAGAAATACTTTTAAGATTTCGGACAATTTGAATTAAAAAAACTTGTGGAGTCGTTTTAAGAATAATTTAAACTCGAACACAGATTACTTAGTTCCTGTTAATTTGAAAAATAAACTTACATCAAATTTGGCCTGCTGTTCAGGCAAATGTCGCAGTCTATTTCGGAGCCAAGTGAATCCGCTGATAGCCGGGTTCCAGACATGGTAGTTAGCATCATTGCGAAGGAACCTCAATATGTTGAAGCCAAAGTTAAAGGTCATTCTTTCCGCACGCATTAAAGCAAAAACGTCATCAACTACCTGCACAAAAAATAGGTTTCAAAGCATAAAAGAATACATCACATAACAAAAGAAACTTAATAATGTTATTGTAAACTTTTGGGCTGACATGTCCCGAGACCAGACATAAAACCAAAGATAGAGCGAACTGGCAGCGCACTGTGGACGCCCTCTGCCCTACTACAGGGACATAGAACTTTAAGTCAAGTAAGTCAAGTTGAACTTTTATAATTTGTTTAGTTACAAAAGCCACTCACCTGTGCTCTATTCAAATAATGTATAGTATTAGGATCATTGAATAAGGCATCACCAATTAAATTCCAGGACTTATCATCGTACGTCACTCTGTAATGTCCTGGAAAATAAACTCCATCTTTAATATACTAAATGTAACTGACTCTGAGTACTAACGTCTTATATTCAGATATAAAACTTTTTGTTTAATTTATTTTTTCTCTGTTTTACTTATTTGTCTCATCTATTTGATCTTAATCTTTTCTCTCTTTTTTGTCTCCATTAAATAAAAAATGTTGATTTTACTTACCATGTTGTAAGTTATTAAATATAACCCATTCTTCCACTTTAGATTTCGTAAGAACAGCTCGTTCAGAAGTCATCATATAGACAGGTTTTAGGTTATTGAAGTTGCGGTTCGAGTTAGTTGAGTAAGAAATTGGTATGGGATAGACTCGACCGCTGCTTGTCGATGTACCTAGGAACCTTTCCTGAATAACAACAAAAATTACGTTTATTCATTTTCTCCAAATTATAGCAGCGTAGTCTTTACTAGGAAAGAAAAATACAGAATAAAATGCAAAATGATTGTTACACAAAGTAACTCTTAACTAAAAATAGACCTTTCATTCATCAAAAAATTCAAGTCAAAAAATAATGCTCATTACGACGTTGAAACTAAACTTTGAGAGTTTCAGATCAGATCAGAGTGTTCCTGCATATATCTGAGAAGACATTAAAAGATATGTGTGAAGTCAATCAACCCGCACTTGGCCAGCGTGGTTGACTATGGCCTGGTGGGAACGTACAGTGAACTGAGATGATTAAGAAATGTAGTTACTTACTTGACTGAGACCCATTTCTCCAGTTTCGTGATTAATGTTAACAGTCAGAAGTGGGTAGCCGGGTTCATTGACCCAAACGCGGTAGTATTCGGTGAAATTGAAGTTTTGGTACTCTCTTAGAGTTCCATCCTCTTCAACAGCTTGGGCGAAAGCGGCATATAGATCGAACTGATTAGTTGCCTTGTATGCACTTGAAATAAAGAAAATAATATTACACTCATGTCTGTAGGGGTAGAGTTAAAAAGATGATTTGTTTATTGTTTATGTGAAAGGAGTCATTAAGAATAGAGTTGTGATTGAAATGATGAATACATCGACCTGGAGGATAAAAACCTGTTGTGCCGCTCGTGTGTTTTGACGTAAAAAATAATGCTACAGTATTAAACTTTCATTGAGATTTTTGGATGTTTACTTACTTGTTACGCAAAAAGTATTGACAAGCTTTTCTGAATGTCGCAGGAGTAATCATATTGGCCGTCATTCTGAGAACAGCAGCACCTTTCGAATAGCTGATTGTGCCAAAATGACCTGTCACTTGAGCTGGAGTATTAACTGCATGGTTCATGGGTACAGTGGAAACTCCAGAATCGAAAGCCAGTGATGTCTGCAGGTATCGCGAATTGAAATGTTCATGATGCTCGTATTGCGGGAACACCTGGAAATATATGCAAATTATATCATTTATATTTTACGGGAAAATCATGAAAGAATTACTTTAAAATGTTGAAAAAGGAGAATTTCACAATTAATAATGCTTGTTACCTCATAAGTTGCAATATAACCGAAGTAGCTGGCGAAACCTTCATTGATCCAGGTGTTACTCCACCAGTAGCAAGTGATGAGGTTGCCGAACCATTTGTGTGCCAGCTCGTGCGAGATTAACGTCGCCGCATAGTGCTCTATCGACATTAACGTCTCTCGCGGATCCAACACCATATATAACTCTCTGGAAACGAAGTGAATAGTAATCTATACAAACTTACTCTGTAAAGCAAAATCAAAGAATGAAGTAAGCGTAGACAGTAATCGTAAAGTATGTTTGATTTTTGATCGATTACTTGACTCTATTGGTTCACTTATTGTACATTTGCAACAGAAATTTTAAAAAGTTAAGCAACAAATTTCCTTTTCAAAGACAGGCCAGAAAAAACTTCTTCTATAAATCTATTAGTAGCTATTAATGATGAATGATGATGATAATGATTAATTAATCTTACAATGAACCAAACACTAACCTGTAACTAACCATGCCCCAGTTTTCAGTACCGGCAGACGCCCAATCAGGTGACGAAATATGATCGTTATATAGGTAAGGATGTAAATCAGAATACGGTATACCGAAGTATTCGTCGAAGTATTTAGTCATTTGAACGGTCATGTTTAATGCCATCTCTGCCAAGCCCACTGTGTTGGATCTACCGATAATTCTGATAGGAGGATTGAAGGAGGTATCCTGGGCGATCACGGTGAAAGACTCGCTGACTAGGAAGGTGACCAGGTAGGAAGACATTACTGGTGTGGCGTAGAAATTGTCACGGGCGCGGCTTCCGAGACTGTGGATTAAATTTTATAATTAGATATTAGTGTTTTCTTTTCGGAAATTACGGGACTAGAGTATATTTTGGTCTATATTTCTGTTGACTGTATCATGTCTTTTTTTATTTTTTGCATGTTTTTTTGTTATCAATATTCAGTAAAACCTATCTTTACATTGTTGCCGATGCGAATTCAATTCTCACCTGTCAGTAGATTGGATACGAGTGTTCGAGAAAGTTCCCGAATAGCTTGTTGGTTTTGACAGGTGGATTTTGAACACCGCTTTGAAGAGAGGCTCGTCCCAGCAAGGGAAGGCTTGTCTAGCATTGTATGGCTGGAAGTGAGTTGTAGCGTAGATCCTAGAATATACGAAATCTTGTATCATTGTATGTACATTGCATCTTTTAACCACATGAACAGAGTTAAGTTACTGATGAAAAAAAAACATATCAAATATAGGTTACTGTATTAGCGATGTTGGCTTAATTTACAATAATTTATAATATCGTCTTTACTAAGCTTAATATAAATGTTAAGTATTATCGAGAATTCTTATGTTTGCCCTACAAGTGTACACTGAACTTAGTTTCAATCTTACCTTTCGTTACCGTTCTCATCAATATACCATCCTCTCCAGATACCACGCTTCATTGGTCCTTCGTTCATTGTACTGGAATAATCTATGATAAGTGTATAATTTGTGTATACCGCCAAAGCCTGCGCCAGATTAATCTTCAAGAAATGATACTGCGGCTCAAGCTTGATTGGTTGTAATGGATTCAATGGTACAGGCGATCCGGAAGATGTTAGAACGCTGACTGCATTTATTGAATCCACATTTGAATGGAGAACAATTTGGGTTACATTTTGTTCTATTGCCTGGAAGAGTAACATAATATTATACACAATTATCTCAATTTTTTTCAAACAAAAAATAAGTCCTGTTATAAGTTCCATTTGTTAAGAAGTAAGTTTATTTTAATCGACATTTTCTTTTTTTATTTTAAATTCATAATTTGTTAATCATACTATGATTATTGATAAATTAGATTCTTAAAATCTGGATGATTTTTTTTTAATTGTGTTTTTTGGAAATCATATTAAAGTACGAATCACTTATAAAATAATGAAATATGAATAATATTTTTCGATCTTATCGATAGAAAAAGTTAAGTTTATGTTTAATATGTAATATTTCTAAACTTTATCTAGGTTGTAAAATAAATAATTATTAATCTTATCAAATTAATTCTTAACGGTCATATATGACATTCGACTTGATTAGATTATTGTTTACTCAAATATAATTTTAAAGTACCAAAGTTAGCTAGAATAAAAAAGCGGTAATGACTATAACCCACGTTTAACAGTGGTAGAGCCCGCTTTAACATCTTCGCACGAATCGGCCCGGCTCGCCCGGTGAAATACCACGACCACACAGAAAACAGGCGTGAAGTGGAAGCAATTCCGCGTTTCGTCTGATGAGTGTGCGTCCCGGAGGCCAAAATTAGTCCTCTTTCCCTTCCCACCCTTTTTCTTTAAGGAAAGAATGGGAAGTGGACTTTCCGGATGAGAGGATGCATGGAAAGGGAAAATATTTTCTTTCTGTGCATCCTCTTCTTCGTCGATTAAACGTAGGCAACGCTTATGCAATTGCGTATGTCTATGGGCAACGGCCACTTCGCTGTTTTAGCGATTTCCGGTGGCCGCTCGCTCGTTTGCCACCTTGTGATATAAAAAAATAAAAAATAAAATAAATGTTCATACATTATGTGTATATGAATATAGGAAGGGATTAATTGACTGTAAAGTCACTTCGTAGTAGGTTTCTACTGTCCAAAAACCTGTATGGAAACATATTGTTTAGGATCTTATTTTCTTTGAAAAAACAAAGAAAATTTTCACGATTACATTAGACGATTTTGTTTATACGGAACGGTGCGTTTTAAATATTTTCTTTTGTATTTAAGAGGTATTTATTGAGTCATAATACTAACGGTTGGTTTCTGATACCAAAACCTCTGTACAGAACATATCGTCATCCGTCGTCTTTTAAAAGGGGATTTTGGTCTCAGAACTCCACACCTTTTTTGCGATCACATGCATACCTGCACCTATAAAAATTGCTTTTACCTGCAATATAATATATTCCTTTCCATCATAACTGAAAGGTCTGTCTGTCCGTTCAGCAAAGTATAAATCTATGTATATATCGTAGTCGAGGGGTAGAACGTTTTGTGGTAGCCTGTACTGTTCATTATTTCTCGTAGTTGCTGAATCATCAGGAAGCACTAGCTCCTCGAAATCTCTAAATATTGATACTGGATGGTCACATGCAACTGATGCTATGAGCATTAAGCTCAAGGCTATTAATTTGGACATTTCTGGAATACAATAATAAAATAAATAAGTAATTTAACTAATATTTCGAGAGTGTCGGTGGCTCAGGGGTATAAGCACTTGACTTGTAATCTGCAGGTCCTGGGTTCAAATCCCGCCATGTACCAATGTGTTTTTCGATTTTCGTATGTACATTTATCCGATGTTCTTACGGCGAGGGAAAACATTGTGATGCAACCTGCACATATCTGTGAAGAAAATTCAAAGATATGTGTTAAGTCAACCAACCCGCATAAGGCCAGCGTGGTTGACTATGGCCTAGTCACAATACTCGTAACTTAGGGTAGGATCTGAGCCCCTCGGTGGAGACTTGTAGTGAGCTGATGATGATGATGAACTAATATTTATTATCTACCGCAAATACTAATAAGTCCGAAGCTTAAACTAGGATATGTTTCGGGAAATTGTCGTATGTTGGTATTCAATCCTATGACCACGTTTATTCGTACTCTTACGCCTAAGCTTCCAAGAAAGTTGGGACAATTTTTAATAAAATATTGATCCCTAACACTACTTGTTTTTTTTAATCGCAAATATTTATTACTATCATAAAACAATGAGCAAACTCACCTGATAAATGAAATGTCCTATATACAGCGCACAATGAAATAAAATGAACTAAATTCTTTATAGATTTTAACTTTGATAGTTATATTACAGGGTTTCAATATCTGATAATATATATCAAATAATTAACCGCCTTTATCATTAATCTGATAAAAATTCGCTTGATGCGAAACAAAGAAGTTTGCTTTGACGTTATGTTAATGAATAATGTTATTGATGATGGTAATGATAATGTCTCGAGAGTACACAACATAAGTACATGCCAGAGAGAGGGGACGTCAGTCGATGTCAGGCTTTTGGACCGGCAACACGTGTCGGTACGTGAACGAGCTAAATATAACGCAAAGAATGCTACAATGATGATAATGATGATGTTCACCATGACGAGGTGGTTAACAGAGAGCCTGGTTTAGTAATATTAGGAATTAAGTGGGACAAAGAAGGTTTGATTCGATGGATAAGTCTAGGTTATGTTCTCTATCAAATTAAAAAACATTAAAAGCAAGATCACTTCAAATAGAAGTAAGAGAATAAAAAATCACTTGGCATAACATTGTACCATGTCTGAATATGTGCTGGTATTAAAAATTATATATAATTTCTGCAATTTTTTTATCTTAGTGGGATTGTAAGAGGTGGAAAAAACTTACCAAAACAAAAAAGATGTGCCTACATAAACTGTTATAGTAAAAGAAGATAATTATAGAAAAACAATCTATTGTTAAACAGTCTCAAAAGCTAATGCAAATATTTCTATACTTACATTTTAACTGATAATCAGAAATGTTTAATCAGAACTAACTCTGTCTGCGCGGGATTAAAAAGCTTAGTGAATAGCTTGTGTGTTCTTCAATCTTTTACATTTGTGTCAAATTTAATCCAGATCCGATAAAGGAGAGATCATCTAACAAAACTGCATTCATCCGTACATCCTAATTTTAACATCTGTATTATTAAGATACTTTGACCGAGTAATATAGATTCATCATTACGAACATAGGTACGAAATAAACGACAGTCGCTTGTGTCGTAGTAACATAACAAAATTTGTAAAAATGTAAGCTATTTAATTTTATTAATAAATTACAACGTTAACATTAAAACTTAATTTAATTACAAACTCAATTATTTAAAGAAATTAACTGCCAAAGCCACCATCAGCATGACCACGGAGACAGTCATAGAAGCTGCAGAGCTCCTGACATTTCTCACTGCAGTAAGCAACTGAACGGCCGCGTTGTTGCCCCATTCCAAATTGGATATACTAGAAGACACGACGTTCACACTAGCAGAGAACGAAGAACCAAGAGCGATCTGGTTTCTGTACACCCAAGTTTGGAACTGAAACAAATTAATTAAAAACTATAAAACCCGAAATTACCATCCCTCATTAATCAGAAAACTGCCAAAAAAATATTGGTCAAGACTGTATAGGAACACAATGAAATGGAGGAAAAGAAAATATTTCCCTCCTGTTGTAACGAAAAAATAGTTATAAGTTGAAGTTTCTTTTCTAAAGCCATAACAGTTTTGATGCCAGATTGCTATTCTGTGAAATTACCTGTGAGATATGTTGGAACTCTCTCATGAATCCTGGCAGCGCGTTTATGCAGATATCAAGTCTTGCAGCGCCACCATAACTGAAACAAAGATTTATTTAGACCATAAGAAACACATTTTTTATGTTATTGATAACATTCAACGATAGGCAATGGTTAATTCTCGTTTAAACTTACGTAGTGCGGATTGTGTTAAAGTAGTTGTATAAGAAGTTGAGTACAATCTGGAAGTTCTCGCGGTTGCCTTGCAGGGCGTACTGGAACGCGTTTGTACGGTCGTGGATGCGGATCTTGTCATTGTACATAGATTGCTGTAGGTAGCTGTGAAAAAATAATCATGTGTTATAAAAAATGCTTTATTTATCTTCGGTAGAGAATCGAATGTCGTTTAAATTAAACTTTAAAATTTAAACCACAATTTGTAATATATTCTTACTGTTCCAAAGAAACCCTATCTCTGGTGCAGGCAAGCGTGCGCAGCATGACCACCATATCGGCTGTATTTTCGCTCTCGTTATACTTCCTAAAGAGAAAGTCGTAGTCGCTGCTGTTGCCGTGGCGCAGTCCGGTGCAGTAGACGTAGCGGCGGGCGTTCACCGGGACTCTAAGACAAGTAAAATATATCGTAAGATTATTAAAATGAGAAAACTAAATTTTCCACTCAGAGAGGCTTACTATTCACATTTAACAAAAAAAGGCATAGTACTAGGTGTTTTGCCTCTTTTTCACTATTTGCATCTAGGTATGGTCTATACTCTTATTCTATACAACAACATGAAACTTACAGATTGTTTTCATTTTGTCTAAATGCACGCCACTTAGCAAGACTGTCGGCAATGCATCCTTCGTGTCCCATGTTGCAGGCGTAGTTGAGGATCTGCATGCGGTTGAGGATAGTAGAAGTGGTGTCAGTAGTACGTTCTTCATAACCCAAATGACGGATCACAGATTCCATCAGCTCCATTAAATAAGCCTGTATAGATAAAAAACAAATTATTATAGAAAATATGATTACGACTATTTAACCATGACAATAACTCAAAGTTTATTATTAGCGTACGTACACTGAACTCCTGGTGAGCAACTGGCAGGTGTTCCAGCCTAGATCTGACCCAGTCAAGCTGTGAGAGAGCGCCAGCCCACACATAGTAGTCGGTCTCATCCTTCAAGAATGACAGGACGTCGAAAGCGCGGTTGACGTTGATCACTCCGGCACGGACGAAGTATAACACGTCATTTACAATCTAGATACAAATAAAAAGTTAGAAGCATTCGACCCCAGTATTTTACTACAAATTAACAAAGGAAATTAAAGACGTGCCTGTGCTCGGTTCAACTTGTGAATGCTAGTTCTGTTCCTACGCAAATGAGAAGCGATCATCTCCCAGTTGTGGTCATCATAATTGACACGATATAGACCTAAAAGGAAATGAAGGCAATGTTGAAATTTATTTAATGCATATAGTTCAATTAATAAAACTGATAATTTAAGGTTAGTTACCAGATTGAGCTATGTTCAACATGACCCAGTGATGTCCGGGATCTTTGCGGAGGTCGGCAGACTGTGTGGTCATAACAAATCTTGGTCTGGTATTCTCAAAGTTCATTTCGGCGCTGTGTGTCCACGAAATCGGTATTTGCCATAGAGTTGGATTCGGAGTGCCGGACAGTTGGAATCGTTGCTGTAATAAATAAATTTATTAACTATACGTCTCTTGTAAGAATCACTTGCGATTTTATTTTTGTGTTATACTTGACATTAAATAATAAAAACATTAGAAACATACTTGAGTTAGGGTAATTACACCACTTGACATGTTAACGTTGACATTGACGACAGGAGAGCCAGGGTTCTGGACCCAACTGTCGAACACTCGGCCGATATCGATATTAGGGAAATCTCTTGCGAATGTTGAGTCTTGCGACACTGCCGTTCTGAACGCAGCGTACATGTCTTCGGGATATCCGACACCGTAAGCACTGGAAATTTTAGACAAAGAAAATTTGCAAAACTTGCTTTATTTTATTAAATAAAGATATGGAATTAAACCTATTTCTCAATGTATTACGTTAACTAGTGGTTAACACAAAGGTTTGTACTTACTTATTTCTCAAATAAATTCTGAGGGCGTTTCTGAAGGTATTAAATCCGACAAAATGTTCAAGAGTTTTCAATACGGATGCACCTTTAGCGTAGCTCGTAGTACTGAAGTGGGAGGAGACGGACGGGTTGGTAACCACTCCAGTCCAATTCATGGGAGTAGCTCCTGCGCCGGCGTCCCAATTTAATGCGCTGTGTACATAGTCTACCACGAATTGATCATCTAATTCTAGAGATGGATCAGCCTGAAACGATGAGAACAGATGTAAACATGCAAAAAAAAAAGCAATGTAGGATAATATTACTATTAAACATGCTTAAACTTACATAATGAGCGCCAAAGTATTCAAAGAAACTAGCAAAAGATTCATTGAGCCACAAGTTGCTCCACCAGAAGCAAGTTACCAAGTTACCGTACCACTTGTGGGCGAGCTCGTGAGCCATGATCGTAGCAATGAAGATTTTGTTAATCAAGTTGGTGTGAGCAGGATCGTACAATAAGTAGGCTTCCCTGGAATATGGTTTTCCAATTAGCAAATATTAACATATATACATATATCATGGAATCGTGTGATATACGTAAGCATACTGTTCTTACCTGTAATTCACCATACCCCAATTCTCCATAGCACCTGAGGGGAAGTCAGGCAGAGCGATGTGATCGTTTTTCATTGGTTGACCTTGACCCATGTCATAATACCCAATATCAAAGTATTCATCCAATTTATCAGTGATTCGCAAGCCAATATCTGCGGCATATGCGTGCTGATTGGTAGGACCTTGTCTAGAAATAATCTGGAAAGGTTTGCTGAGGGTGCCGGTCAAGTTAGTTGCAACAAAGTCGCTGACATGGAAAGCCACTAAATACGCAGAGACGACCGGAGTTGGAAGGAACGCTTCACGTACTCGATTAGCTGAAACTCTGTGAAGTAATTCAATTATTTGGTTAAAAACTTCATATTTCTGTAATTGATTAAAAATCAAAACTACTACGTTACCATAATGTTTTTTTTACTTCACAAACAGATGATGTGCATAACTTTGTAGGTTCTTTCTAATTACTTAATTTTGAAAGAAAGAAATACTTACATTTGAGTCTCTCTGATGTCCATGTTAGAGAATGAGGGGCTGAGATTCCTATCTCTTGTGATAGAAATAAAAAATCTTGATTTGAATTGTGGCTCATCAAAACAAGGGAATGCTTTTCTTGCGTGGAAAGGTTGGAATTGAGTTGTAGCATATTCCCTAAAATCCGAAATTACTTTATCAGTAAAACAAAACTAAATCCTGTTTGAATTCAATACTCAAGACTGCTTTTAATTTTTTGCTTGATTTTTTCTATCTTGATTACAAAGTGAAAATATTTAAGACAAACTGCAAATGTTCAAATAAGTTTTTCCAAGGTCATAATATAAGTAATTACAAAACCATCAAAATTATAATCATACCTCTTCTGAGTTCCATAGTAGTAGTAACCCTTGTAAAAACCACGATCAACAGGATTTTCGTTAATTCGACCCAAATAACTGACAGTAATAGTGTAGCGTCCAGGCAAAACAACTCTATCGAAATTAATCTTTAATATTTCGAAATAAGAATCAATTTCGAATGGAGTCGACGTATTCAGTGGAACAGGTCGGCTGGTACCATCGATGACATTCACTCCTTGAATCGATACAACATTTTGGTGGAGGACAATTTGAGTTAGGCTTTGCCGCACCTAAAAATATTACAATAATAAATTAAGAAGAACGTGAAAGATACAGGAATACCAAGACTTTTTATATGATATAAAAAAATCAAAAGGTGGCAAACGAACGAGCAGCCACCTGAAATCGCTGAATTAGCGAAGTGACCGTTGCCCATAGACATACGCAATTGCATATGCTTTGCCTTTAATCGACGGAGGAGAGGATGCACAGAAACAAAATATTTTCCCTTCCCATGCATCCTCTCATCCGGAAAGTCCACTGCCACTTCTCATCCTTTCCTTATAAGAAAAAGGGTGGGCAGGGAAAGAGGACTAAACTAGGCTTTTGGGGCGCAAACTCATTGCACGAAACGCGGAATTGCTTCCAATTCACGCCTGTCTTGTATGTGGTCGTGGTATTTCATCGGTCGAGCTGGGCCAATTCGTGCGAAAATGTTAAAGCAGGCTCTACCACTGTTACACTTACTTATGACTTATGCTTAAGTCTAGTGAATTTTATAAATATTGGATGACACTGCGAAAGATCACCAAGATGGAATGCATTAAAGGTAATGACGTACTTATGAAGAACTGCGAACAGAAACCTATTTCAAGGACGTAAGCGCTCAAACATTTCAATATACATCTATAACATGAATTTAAATACTTTTAAATTGTCATACGATAAATTAACAATTTAATCATATTGTACTTGAACTATATTCAAATACTTTATTGTGTCATCGATACAATTAATCATAATCAAAGATAATACTTGTAAATTATGATAATAACGATTCGCTTCATTACAAATGTTATCATTGTAAAGATTACCTTAGTCCAAGTTATAAGGAATTAGTGCGGTCGGTACTGCCGTGCTTAGTGTTTATTGTGAAATTTGGTGATATCATTTCTTAGCTTGATAAAAGCGCTAGAAGCTAAATTTTATTGGAATAATTTTTAATTTATACACACGTTTTGATGTTCAGTAAAATTAAAGGAATAGTTGGAAATGCTTCGTGATTTGCTTATACTAATTAATTGAATAACTTAATAGAATAGAATAGATAGGTAGCAAAATTTTATAGGACAACTAGCGGACCCGACAGACGTTGTCCTGTCTACACGTATTTAATTTGAAAATTCCAATATTATTTAAAATTTGACACTGCGATGGTAGCGCCATCTGTCGGATCCAATGTAAAACATTCCAAAATCAACAACTACTAACTAATTAAAAAAACATTGTCCAGCGGACAAAATTGTGAATCTAAACCATTCCCAGATCCCCTTGAACACACTCAAAAAATTTCATCAAAATCGGTCCAGTCGTTTGAGAGAAGTTCAGTGACATACACACTCACAGAAGAATTATATATATAAAGATTTTACACTAGGACAAAATATCAAGTAACTGATTTTATGATAATACTAGCTGTCGCCCGCGATACCGTTCGCGCGGAATTAAAAAAACTTAATTTGTAGCCTACGTGATCTTCCATTCTATGCTCTACGTCTATATCAAATTTCAAGATCCGTTGTGTGTTCCCGGAGATATCATCAAACAAACATCCATACATCTAAACTTTCGCATTTATAATATTAATAAGATTGTTTAACTCCTGACAACTCAATGGTCTATGAAATAAAATGAATTACAACGCCATCTATTGTATTATGGTAAATATTATTAAAATACTTACGTCAACAACAAGTTGCACTAATCCATTAAACCTTGATTCAGACAAATATACATCCAGATCAACGAATACGTCTAAAGGCTGAACAGTGTCTAAAAGTCTGTATTTTGGTTCAGCAACATTGGTATTATAATCTAAATATTCAAAATTTGATCTAAATTCCAAAGGATCTGCGCTAACAAATCCTACTAAAAATAAGACTAACGGCACCATCATTTTGAGACCTGAAAAACAATAAATTTATTAATAAGACGTACTTTTTACTAATATTTATTAAGATCTATAAGAAAATAAAGTAATAATAACTTTCCCCTGAAACTTTAAAACCCTGACAAGTATCAAGACAAGGATTGCTTCCTGTAATATATCTTACATGAGATATCTAGGAGTATACTTTAAGCAAATTAAGTTAAAAAAAAATCTCTATAAAGATATAAAAATACGACACTAACAATAGCTTTAGTATAAAACACCGAAATGGAAAACTTGCTACACACATTATGACAATCAATACTTTTATCATTTATCTATTCATAGTTAACGGACTCAAGTACTTAATCCCTTAAATAATAAGTGATAGAAAATAGATTATTAACAGTATATGCGTGCCGGGGCCCTAATTTTATTCTACTATCCCTTCTCAACCTTTTCTTATAAGCTAAGGAAGGGAAGTGGATTTTGCACAGGAAGATAATATTTCCCTATCCTGTGAGTCTTCTCCTCTACAATTAACCCTTAAGCAGCAAAACTTGAATATAATTAAACTTATGTGCAATTGCAGTCAGAGGTCGCTACACTACTTCGTCTTAGATGGCTGCTTCTCCATTTTCCTTGTCCAAACATGTCATTTTTTATTTCTTTAGGTTTATAAAAAGTGTCTTAAAAGTTTCCTCGATCTGGCCTTGAAGTTTTAGTGCTTTGTAATAATTTATTTATAGAAATAAAACTTACCCATGACGGCCACGGAGACGCAAGTGACCGACTAGAATGGCATATTTTTTATGTTGTATCTTGCTAATTATCGAATTTTATCTATTTACCTACAGCCGTTTTCAAGACTATAAACTTATCAAAAGCATGTATATATCAAAGTATATAATGTGTAATCTCTTGATTAGCTTTATGATTAATTATTTTTATTTAATCGTGACAAAACAAAGGTAAGTTCTTAAGTCACACCAACATTATTTAGTCCTAATTTAGTCCTCTATCCCTTCCTACCCTTTTTCTTATAAGGAAAGGATAGGAAGTGGAAGTGGACTTTCCGGATGAGAGGAAGCATGGAAATGTTTTCTTCCTGTGCATCCTCTTCTCCGTCTATTAAAGGTAGGCATATGCAATTGCGCATATCTATGGGCAACGGTCACTTCGCTATTTCAGCGGTTTCAGGTGGCCGCTCGCTAGTTTACCACCTTATGATATAAAAAAAAAACATTCAGGAACCCACCATTATGTGGTTAACTTTATGAATTCGTAGATTGTCTTATAGTATTTAATTGTGTTAATCATACCTAGAGTCCTAACTGTTACGTTATTCGATTTAAGAATTGATCTATCTATTTATTTATCGTCAGTTAATAACCACAAACTTAGCTCGAAGAGTCTTTTGCGAAAAATTTTACAACGTTTTACCAATAGATGGCATTACATGTAGCATTTGTGGAATATAACAAAATAATTTATTTATGACTGTTCACAATAGCAATATTATTATTTTTCCTCTTAATAAAATAGAGATTGGATTCGAGTTAATGTTATAAGTGTTAAATAAAACGTATTCAATTTTAAGCCATACATAGATGACTGTATTGTTAAGTGACGTAAATGAAATCCAGTACCACCTTAAAACAATGAATCAGTCTTAAAATTAATCATCACATTATGATTCACGTAATTTTATTCTGAACTTTATTATGATAAGTTGTTATAGCTTGCTTCTTATGATGTTATTTCCAACATCATCATCATGCTGAACGTAGGCCCGCATACAGAGCACTCTCGCAAACTTAACCAGGGCATCGGTCCATCTTGCGGGAGACCTGCCTACGCTGCGTCGATCTATCCGCGGCCGGCACTCTAGGACTTTTCGGCCCCATCAGACGTCCGTTCTGCAGGCAATGTGGCCGGCCCATCGCTATTTAAAGTTTACAATTCTTCGGGCAAAGTCGGTTACTTTAGTTCAATAATTACAAATATACTCTTTTAATAAAACCTATTCATACCTCAATCGTAAATAACTAAAAGCAGCTATTGGATTTTGCAATAAAACCAGATATCTAGAAAATTTACAAATGTACAAATTTTATTGGACTCAATATTATATTATGCCATAATGTTAACAGCAACAGCGATAAGTAAAGTCACAATACTTAGAACCGCAGTATTAGCAGATCCAGTATCATTGTCCTCTTCAGTTACCACAGGTGGATTTGTACTGCCAACGTCTGGAGGAGCAACCTCTTCCTCTTCCTCACCACCGTCAATAATATCTTCAATAATATCTTCTACATAACCCCTTTCAAAGTAACGTTGCATTTCAGGAATACGACGCGATGACCATTGTAGGTTAGTTCTTGTAGCAGCTATTGCGTTCACACCAGTGTCGTATGCAGAACCAATAGCATCGCGATTAGCATCCAGCCATGCTTGGAACTAGAAACAATATAAACGTTTTTTTGTGAACACCTTACTAATATTATAAATGTGAATGTTTGGATGGACGAATGGTTGTTTAAATATATCTCCAGAACCAGTGAACGGATCTCGATTAATTTTGTCATACATATAGAACATAATCTAGAAGAATCCATAGGCTACTAATTATGTTTTTTTAACTACGCCGATGGGGTCGCGATCTACCGCTAGTAGTTTGTAAAATGACATTCGTGAGGTATTCAGTCAATTTTGACCAAGATTATGATATAATGAGGCAGTATATTTTATCATGTTTAGTAAAATAAATTTTAGTTACCTCAGAGATTTGTTGTTCATTGAGAAGTCGACCCGCAATATTATTTATAGGTGTTGCTACGCTGCCCATTCTGTTGAAAAAAAATGCTATGTAGTACCAAAATAATTTACTCTCAACATTTGAACTTTATCATTTCCGATATTACCACCACAACTAGGGTCAACTAGGCTCTAAATTATATTACTATACCATGATAGTTACATGTTACTTTTGTTCTCCTATTGCTGCTACTATGCCAGTTTACTTTTGTTAATGTACATGTACAGCCAGCCAGTGTCTGGTAATATTAAATCGGATATTTAAATTAACTTACGCTGCAATAGTTCTATTCACGTTATTCCTCAACCATTCGAACATCCTCAATGTGTTAGCTTCATTTCCAGAGACAGCGGAATTCATCGCAGTGCTGTAATCTTGATCACGTACCGCATCATCAAGAGTAACAATAGCATCCAGATATTTCCATAAGCTTGCCTGACTGTTCGTACAACCAGCTGCTTCTAACATCACAATCTTTTCACTGGCAAGATCCTCAGCTAAATAGCGGTCCCAGAAATAATTAAAATCTTCATCGTTACCGTTACGGAGACCAGTGCAGTATACCCAAGGACGCATGTTTGCGGGAATGCTGAAAATAAAGTAGGTTTGATTCATTTATCATGATTTAAATTACATTTAATTTAAGTTACTATGACAGCAGATTAAATGGATCGAGAAAGTAGAAGAAATATTTTATACCCGACTGACAAATTTATTTGGATACATGTACTGTCTTCAGCGACAGCCTAGAGCCTAAACGACTAAATCGATTTATCTAGTGAGATGATCCGTTATTTCCCGGGGTAAGATAGGGTGTCACACAGTCAGTTTTTTGTTTTTAATTTAAAAAATGTTAATGTATACGTTATATACTAATGTTCTAATGATTTTTACTTACAATACGCCATTTCTCCAGTTTTGGAAGTTCCTTCTTGCTTCGGTAACGCACATATCGTGACCAATATTACACAGGAACGAAAGAGAGTACATACGAAGCAAGTTGTCCATGTACGAATCTGAGGGTAGTTCGAGATAGCCCAGTCTCCTTGTTAGGGCAACACTTAGTTCTATGATATTATCCTAAAACATCAGAAAATACAAAATTTACTGCCTTTAATTTCACAGAATCTGGATGAGGATTTTTTTTAATTGTGTTTTTTGGAAATTATATTTAAGTACGAATTACTAATAAAATGATGAAATATGAATAATATTTTTCGATCTTACCGATAGAAAAAGTTAAGTTTATGTTTAAGTTGATTATCGATAAAACACGAATAAAATGACATTTTCTAAAAATGATACCTAGCTAGATCGATCTATCGCCCCCGAAACCCCCTATATACTAAATTTTATGAAAATCGTTGTAGCCGATTCCGAGATTCCAATTGTATATACATATATATATATAGATATATATAGATATATACAAGAATTGCTCATTCAAGATATAAGATTAATATTTTTCCCAAACTGTGTATTTTAAAGATCTAAATCAGATTTTTTAACAGCGAGCTTCTAACATTACAATACACTTTGGATATATGTAGATCTTCCTAAATGTCAATTTTAAACAAATAAGTTTTGTAAGTTGGAATATTACTTATCGGATTTATGGTTGGCTTCTGAGACCAAAACTCCTTTATAAAGCATATCGCCATCCCTCTCAATAACTTTGGCAAAACAGAGATATCAAAATGTTTTATACGGAGAATTCGGTCTCAGAAACCAACGATTAGTTTCTTACCTGTAACATTTGCAGCCTGGTAGTATCATGAGCAAGTCTTCTGAGGATGAAATTGAAGCCGTTAATGGCAGCAATCCAAGGACCGTACGAGCTTTCGAATTGTAGGAAAGATAAAATGTTGAATACTCTTTCATAACTCTTAGTACCCGCTCTAGCAAACGCAAACAAATCATCTACAATCTAAAAATAATAAAACATATTATTCGTTAACACAGTTTTACCTATTTCAATAAAATCAACGTAAAAAAGCACCTAGATTTCTTAAATTTTTAACCTTTTTGTGCTATAATAGTAATATTTTCTCCAAAATTATAAAAACCTTAAAATAACTCAATGCCTAATTTTACAAAGTTAAAATAGTTTTGGCCATGACAAAAATTAGTATCCCGAAATTTCCTCGAATTATATATAGTAATTCGACAGATTTTAATATCCTGTAAAAAATAATCATAATAATTTTTCAGAATAACGTACCTGAGCTCGATTCAGCTCATGGATAACAGTTCTGTCAGAACTTCTTAAATGTCTTGTGAGTAAAGCCCAGTTGGTATCATCATAATCAACCCTGTAGAAACCTACAAATCAATTCAAAAAATCAATTATTAAAAAGTCAATTTTATTACAATTTTGACTAAATAAATAACATTTTTATTGAGACAGAGAAGAGAGAAGACAGGATTGTTATGATCAAAATTGTTACCTGTCTACATTTCTCTCTTATTTTGCAAAACAAATGGCATATCATAGTTTACATTTAGATAACCTTTCATTGCACCAAATTCACGTGTAGTTATCGATAATTTATGATGCTTATCTACATACTTTGACGTAAGTAATCGCATTTGAAAATTCTTTTGAAGGCATCTAAACAATTTTTTATTACACGTTCTTATAAAACGATTATTTGCTTTACTTCCAACGTACGCTATTGAAACTTTGAATGCATGTATAGAATAGGAAACTATAACGACTATTATATATTTAAGTAATGCTTAAGTACCAGATTCTTGCTTGTTGAAAAGCACCCATTCCAGTCCAGTACTGCCTCTGTCGATTAAAGTGGTTTGTGCTGATATAATCAGCGAGGGCTTCAAGTTCTCGAAGTCGGGTAATGCACCTCGTGTCCAGGTAATAGGAATATGCCAAAGACTGGGGTGTTGTGACACACCGGTGTTACGTTCCCAACGACTCTACAATAAAAAGAAGTCGTTTTACTAATAGCTAACAGCTCACTTGTCCGTTTTTTACAGTGAAGGAAAAAGTGATATAACCTGCACATATCAGAAAAGAAATTCAAAGATGTATGAAGTAAACAAATCAACACTGCTCCAGTATGGTTGACTAAGCGCTAGTCACCTCTTAGGGAAGTCTCGAGCCCTTCGGTGGATGATAGTATAAGCTAACAACGAAATAACTCTCTCGAAAGAACACCAAATCGATATTACTAACCTGGGTTACAGTCATGTGTCCTGTTCTCTGATTAACAACAACTGTCAACAATGGATGACCGGCCTTCTCTGACCAAGACCTGAAGTAAGTGTCAATGGTAATACCATTGTACGCTGACAAGGCGTTGTCTTCCGCTGCCGCAGCGTCGAGGTTTTCAAACAAATGATGAGGTTCGGCGACATCGAATTTCCTGTTAAAGTTAATAAATTTATAACAAACATTGAAGCATAAAGTTGCTCTTTTAATAAAATAACTAACATCACTTGACGAGAATGCTTTAACAATCTAATAGAACAATATTGCCCGTAAGTTATTCTACTTAGCTTAACCTTTCACTTCAATCATTGACACTTAAATGAAATTGATTCTATGATCAATCTGTTGTATCACGAAGCAACATGTATTGGATGAGTACCTGGCATTTAGATAATAACGTAGACCCTTTACGAAAGTGTTGTCTCCAAGCAGATGCTGCGTCATTCTGATGATCGAGGCGCCGCGAGCGTACGTGATGGTGGAGAAGTGAGCGCTAACGCGAGACGGGCTGTTTACATTAGGATCGGTGAGGGCGTGAGCGGTGTCTATAGAGTCTGCTATCATGACCGTTTGCAGTTGCTCCACGATGAAACGAATGTCGTAACCTAGCTCAGGAGCAACCTGTTAAATTGCATTAGTTAATACTATCATTTAGAAAGAGAATACATCAATGTAAAGAAATTTTTATTATTAATATACAAATAGCTTCAATCTTAGCTGCAAGTACTTCTAGTACTAGATAGAACATACCGATTGCGTGAGGTAGTATTGATAGAATCTGGCAAAACCTTCGTTAAGCCACAGGTTGTCCCACCAGGCGCAAGTGACAAGGTTGCCGAACCACATATGAACAACCTCATGAGAGACAATGTTTGCCACTCGCTGCCTATAAAAGTTATTGGAGTTCTGAGGGTCAAACAATATCAACGCTTCCCTGCAAAAGACATCAAAATATATTAATTTCGGTGAAAGTTTTTAATAGAACAAAGAGATATACACGGATCCTGTTGCCTAAATTCAGACTACAGATACACTGCCAGGTTCGAATGCATGAGCAAAACTGCTGACACAGCTAAAATACTATTTTAATGAAACTACTGATTCTTAACGTACCTGTACGTCAAAAGACCCCAGTTCTCCATGGCACCGGCTGAGAAATCAGGAATGGCAGCTTGCTTCATATTTATATTTTCAGCCATTGTGAAGTAAGGAATCTGAGTGTACCGCTCCATGGCGTCCAAAAGCAGTTCTCCGATTTCAAGAGACCAATCGCCAGTGGTGCCGGCATTGTTGCGAGCGTAAATATCGAATGGTCGTACAGTGTCATTGTTGGAAGCTACCACAACATAGTGTGACACGATGAAAGCCAGTAAATACGTAGAAGTCAAGGGCGTAGTCCAAAACGTTTCGGCAATTCTACCGTTCGTCGGCCTAAAAAAATGTATGCAAGTTGCAGATTGATAAAATTTATCACACGTGGCATGAATTGAATTAAAAACAAACAAAAGAAGGCTTTGCTTGGTTCTTCCTTAATGGTAATTCAAATCAAGTATTTTTTCTTTGTGTTCGATCCTATCGGGTTCTTATTCAGTACAATCTGTATGTATCTTCTGAGGCCTTGTTCCACACAGTACAGTAGATAACGACTCAAGTATATACTTGGACATCAATTACGCACATATATAAGCAATAAAAGATAAATCATTTTCGCTTATACTTTTCGCTACTGCATAGGTTAACTAAAGTATAACAAGCCAAAGAACACAAGAAATAGATTTTACTTACAGTCCCGTTGTTCTGATAGGCATGTTAGAAATTGTGGGGCTGAAGTTGGTCTCCCTCACAATGGTAATGTCAAAGGTGGCCTTAAAGCTTGGTTCGTCGTAACAGGGGAAGGCCTGACGAGCGTGGCCTGGCTGGAACTGCGTTGTACCCATCCATCTACAAACGAAATACGTTAATTCAATGTAGTGTATGTACCTTGCTTTCTCATATTTAACTTATTTGGGAAATAACTACCGATTTTCCGACAATTTTTAAAAACAGTCTTACCTTCTTCCTGAATTATCATGGTAGAAGCTTCTATAGAAACCTCTCATATTAGTCTGCAGGTTGCCATTGAAAGTCATTTTGACAACGTACTCCTGTCCAAGCTGCAGAGGCGTGTTTGTTCTAATCCTAAGGAAGCTGAAGGGCATCTCACAAGTAGGCGATTGTCCTGGTGTCGCGATTTCCACATTATTGTGTAAGACACTTAAAGAATTGATAGTTAGATCGTTACAGTGCATAACGATTTCATTGACATTAGCCACAGTTGGGCTGATGTAAATAGTGACTTCTCCATCAAATGTGAACGGTCGTGTATTAATTGGAACTATGTCGAAGTAAGGAGTTAGGGATACTTCGTAATGGCGGGGGCGTGTCGTCGTCGGTAGACGGTATGCTGGATCTCTCAAAACCCTGTAAAACTCCTCCCATTCTTCTTCCGGTACAGGAAGCGGACTTAAACTAAGGGTGCCCTGGACAAGGACTGTCCCTACAAGTAGCAATAACCAGCGCGCCCCCTGCAGAAAGTCATACAAATATATATTCCCAGGCTTCTATATAAATCAAGTTAGTTAGCTTTAGAAAATAACGTGACTTACCATGATCGTGCTGGTTGACAATGACAAAAAATTGGCTAGTGTTATTCCCTTGTATCGTTTTATCTTAATCTATTTTATTCGTAATCTATTTATCTTATCCAAATTGGTCATTACATATTATAAAGGTTGAAAAGAATTATAATGCTTTGTTCGTAGCAGAAATTATATTAACAAATTAAACAATTATCTTAAAATTTAAAACGATAATTGAAGCACGTTTTCCTAATCCTTGATAGTGTTCCTAAAAGGTAGCAGTAATTGATTTTAACTTCTAATGTCGGTTACTATCAAGGCTTTTAGAATAAGGTTAAGGAGTCACAGCTCTGTCACAGTAAACATTGCGATTTCTTTCTTTTATCTTACATTTTAACTGTTTACTTTTATCTGTAAAAGCCATAAGAACATTGTCTCATCAGTGCACTGATAAGTCACTTCATCGCCTTCGTAGAATCCTTAATATATATACGTTTAAACATACACACTAGAAGACTGGATAAACCTACAGGTGTTAAAAATCTGCCTACCGTCTGCCCTAGACATTTTGTCTCTATCAATATGCACTGTCTATTCAAATGCATTCAACTCACTATTATATTATTATATGTCGATATTTTGTCACAATTTATAATTAATTTTAGAAAACTTTGGTGTAATCAACTAATATTTCATACATCTAGAAGTCATTCCTTGGAAGCCTATTCCTCATGCTGAATGTTACTGTACTTCGTTTTTGTGAACATTTGTCGATATACCAATATGTATTTTGAAGAAATTTATCACTATTCTCAATTTTTTAATCTCTACTTTTCTCTTGTCTGGGCATTAATTTAAAAACCAGTCATAAAAACTCCTCCAAGTTATGTTTTAATTAATATATTACTATCACCATTAATCTAAGCATTAGACAAGAGTGACAAATGAATGAGAAATAAAAAGACCATTTGAGACTTAAAAAATGTATTTACATAAGACTCTAAGTAATAAGGCACATAAATAATAAAAATAATATCTTATAGGATGTAACTCAAAGAATAATATTAACGATAACTAATAAAAGAGCTGATAATGAGACGAATGACGTCATTGCTGATCCTGGTAAAGTTGGGGTGGTTGGTTCGACAACAGGTGGCGCTGTAACAGTAGATACGGTAGTGACAGGCGCGCGCGTGGTTGTTGTCAGTACAATCGGAGAATCCCCATTCACGAAGTAATTATTGAAGTCGCTGGTTACAGCAGCCGCCCAGCGAATACTGTCCCGTGAGGCTTCTGCTCCGTTGTATACGCTCTGGTAATCATTTCCTAAAGCTGCACGACTCTGGTTCGCCCAATTTTGGAACTAAAAGAATATTGGTATACATTAATATCGTCTCGATCACTAACATCTTAGGATTGTCTGTTATTAAAAATCACTCAGTGCATGCATGTGTAAATAAAATAAATCAGAATAATTGTGAAAAAAAATTACAAAATACCTCTACGATTTCAGCTTCAGTTCTAAGTCTTGAAGATATGTATGACAGAGGAACGGAAGCAGATCCAAAACTGTAAGATAATTATGATTAATGAAAGTTCATAACACATTTTGTATACAGGCAAATTGGTAACCGAAAAATTGCGAGTTACACTTACGCATTGACGACGGTCTGGAGGTTGTTTCTGACAAAATTGAAGACAATTTGAGTATTTCCCTCATTGCCTGTGGTGGCAGAATTCCACGCTGACGTGTAATCTTGGGGACGAACTATGAAGTTGTCTTGTACAATAGCAGCTAAGAGGCTGTTAGAAAAAAATATCAACATTAACAAAACACGATGTAGAAATTTTTAAATTAATAATTATAAACAGCACTTGCACGGAGAGGTTGACATTTGCGGGTCTTTAGCTTTGGAAATACCTTTTAACACGGGCTGATCTGATGGAATTTCTGAATTGTGTTTCCCAAAGTGCAACTTTTTTTTTTATTTCATCACAATTGTTTTGCTTAATGTTAATTTCAATTTATTATTTTCAACTTACGTGTTGAGGGAGGCTTCATGAGGGGTACAACCTAAGACAGTAAGGAGCAATATTTTCTCAGTGTAGACGTTGTGATTCTGGAAACGAGTCCACAGGAAGTTGAAATCTGCCTGGGTTCCATCACGTAAGGCGTTGCAGTACACCCAGTTACGGCTGTTTACTGGAACCCTAAAGCAAACGCATCAATCAAAAATAACGCCAAAATGGATGTAAATTTATTTCTTGGAACGTACACCAAGATTATTGATGATAATATAATCAAGAGATTTTTAGCTATCAAGAGAAATAACAAAAACTCCTACAAATACTTACTCTATGCCGTTATTGATCAGGGAACGGAATTGTGTGTTAGCGGCTGTTCTGCACTCCTGCACATTCATTGCACATAGCACAGGAGCCAGTTGATAGCGAAGGTAGGATCGCATGAACGACTCGTTTGCTTGAGGATAGTAAGTCAGGTTCCTGATCGCTGTAGCTGACCATCTCACCATCATTGCCTGCAAACACAACATTGTCTTGGTTGAATTTAGGTTTCCGTGAAATGAATTAGAAATTGTTGAAAACACTAAAAACATTCTTACTAACTACAAAATTGGTAGTATGAAAATGTAGTGTACCTCTGTTTGAGCCAGTAACGGTGTGCCCCTAAACCTGTTCCTTATCCAAGAGAATCCAGTGAGAGCGGCAACCCATGGAGTATATTCAGTCTCATATTCCAAGAATGACAGAATGCTGAAAGCCTTGGTGTAATTCATGAGGCCAGAGCGAGCAAATTGGAACACGTCATTTACAATCTGTAAAGAAATTTGTTTACAATTAGTAAGTTTTATTTGTCGTCGGTGAAATTGTTTGATTGTTCACTCAAACAGTGCTTTCAAAGACTTATTGGGCAACCATACCTGAGCTCTGTTATATTCGTGGATCTGAAGCCGGTCAGGTCCTCTCAAAGCCAGCGCAATGAGATCCCAAGTGTAGTCATCATAATGGACTCTGTAGAAACCTATAAATCAAGTAGAAACTCATTTCATTCAGGTTATCAAGTGTATGAGTGTGATAGGCAACATAATATGATCATCGGTGTCGCACAGATTTGTGAAAAAACCGAAGTTATGTGTAAAGTCAACTAACGCGCAATCCCCTTGATATGGACATATATGAGCTGACAAGGACAACGAGACAAAATAAATAATGAACTCTTGGTATACCTGTTTGCTGTTTATTGAAGATAACCCATTCATCACCAGTGGAATTTCGATTGATGATTGTAACAGCCTTGCGAATAATATGCGATGGCTTGGTGTCAGCAAAGTTGCGGTTGCTAGCGGTCGCGAAGGTTATAGGTATTATCCAGTTGGTGTTCACAGAAGAATAGCCAGTGTTTATGTTGAAGCGGCGCTGGGAAATAAATCAACAATTTAAAATCTATAGAACTCATGTAAACTCATCTAATCGTATGTCAAACAACTTAGGATTGCAACTACAATTTAAACTTATAGAGTACTCGTCTAGAAAAATAAGTGATATCACTGAACTTCTTGTTTTTTTATGTAAGAGCTTGTCCGCAAGACTGTACATTAGCAATACCTGAATTATAGTCATGTCGCCATTTTGATGGTTAACGTTGACAAGTAAAACTGGATGACCAGACTGCTCAGTCCAGCTTTCGTAATATTCGATGAAGTTGAAGTCAGATCCATAGGCCGCCAATGAACCTGATGATATACCGACAGATTCCAAGTTTCGGAACAAGTGTATCGGTTGAGCAGTTGAATAAGCCCTACGTTAAAAGAATAATAAATTAATATCGGTTCTATAAAAATAACAAGAAACACGTGACAAATATTTTATATTTTTGTAGCCATTGACTTACCTCTCTACCAAATAGTTGCGTAGACCCTCCCGGTGGACGTCAAAACCAAGCAAATGTTCCGTCATTCTGATAACAGCTGCACCTTTGTTATAGGAGATTGTGGAGAACATTGTTCTGACGGCAACCGCACTACCGATTCCAGGAGTTGTAAGCGGATGAGGATTATCCGCAGCGTCGGCGAGCAACGCTGAATGTACTTGCTCTGTTATAAATCTAGTACCTAGACCCATGTAATCTTCAACCTGAAATGAAATTAATTATTTAAAACTATAATTGACAATGGGCAACTAAATAAACATTTGCTGAATCAATATTACGTACCCAGTCAGTAAGGAAATATTGGTAGTATCTAGCGAATCCTTCGTTAAGCCAGAGCACTCCCCACCAATCGCAAGTGACCAAGTTACCAAACCACATATGAGCAATTTCGTGGGAAAGGATATACGCGATCAATTGCTTATAGTAATCATTGGTATGTGCAGGGTCGTACATCAAGTAAGCTTCCCTGTGAAAATAATTATTATAGCGTTACTAATAACTTTCAAGACTATGGGCACATTAAACTTCGTTGGATTGATTTATTTACCTGTAAGTAAGCAAGCCCCAGTTCTCCATAGCTCCTGCCGAAAAATCGGGTATGGACGCTTGTGTCATTTTAAGGTAAGGATTCATTGACCTAAAGTTCAGTGCGGTGTGGTTATTCATCTCAGCTAAAAGTTCTTGCCCAACGTCAAATGCGTATTGACCCTGGTTAGCTTCGATGGCACCCTGTCTTGCGATTACCTCGTAAGTTAGATTTCCGTTCTCTAATACAGACAAGGAATGATATTCGGCAACGATTAAAGCTAAAAGATAGGTAGACATCACCGGAGTCTGGTAATAAATATCATCCTGATATAACCTGCAAAGAAAATAAAACATTTTAAAAATGTTTACTTGCCTTTTTAAATTTTTTGTAAGATCAAACTATATTTCAATAACTAACGCGTTATTGTTCCCAACGTAAAATACGAATATGAAACCTTACAAGTTTGGACTATTAACAGTCTGTCTGATCCTAGTGCAGGACCAACTTCTGTGGGTCACAGGACGTCTGATGGTTATATCAAAAGTAGCCTTAAAACTGGGCTCGTCGTAGCACGGGAATGCAAAACGAGCTGCTGTTGCCTGGAATTGTGTTGTTGCCATCCACCTATCAAAATTAAGGTTATC